TCTTGTCTTTTTCTTCCAAGAGATCAATTCCATTAATGTCTCTCATCCACAAAAGATTAAATGATAATACAATTGAAGATGGATATACTATTCCATCTAAAGATATTATGATAAACCGCATTCAAAATGTAAAATGGTTTTCAAAATTTGATTTAAAAAGTGGTTTCTACCAAGTAAAAATGGATCCTAACTCTATAAAATGGACAACTTTTTCCTATTTAGAAGAATTATATGAATGACATGTAATGTCTTTTGGTCTTAAAAATATCCCAACCATTTTTCAAAGAAAAATGAATAATATTTTTAAAGATTCTAAATATTTTACTTGCATCTATATAGACAATATACTAATTTTTTCCAAAACAAAAGAATAACATTTTCTTTACCTATAACATGTATTATACAAATAAGAACACTATGGATTAATAGTTTCTAAAAACAAAATTGAATTTTGTAAAAATTTAATAGAATTTCTAGGAACAGAAATAGGGAATGGAACCATAAAACTCTAACCCCATATTAAAATAAAAATCCAAGAATTTCCAAATAAAATGGAAGATATAAAAACTTTAAGATCCTTTTTAGGACTTTTAAATTATGCCCAAAATTTTATTCCAAATTTAGAAAAATACACTTCTCCTTTATACAACAAAACTGCTCTTTAAAAGGAGAGAAAAAATTTAATTCTGAAGATGTGAAATTGATTCAGAATATAAAACAAATGGTAAATAAACTACCAATTTTACAATTACCATTATATTCTGACTATTTAATAGTCGAATGTGATGGAAGCGAATTAGGATGGGGTGTCATTATTAAAAGAAAGAAAAACAAATACTCTTCTAAAACTGAGAAACAAATATGTAGTTATGTCTTCGACAAATATATTATAAAACCACAAATTTATCAAACAAGTACTGATTATGAAGTCAATGTTATCATATATGCTTTAGAAACATTTAAATTATTTTTTATAAACAAACCAGAAATAACTATTAGAATTGATTGTGAGACAATTGTTTCTTATGGAATTATGGAAAAAACCAAATTCATAATGAAAAAAAAAAACCACACAGGAGATGACTTCTCTTTAAAGATTATATGAATTCTGGAAAAATTATAAATTTTGAACATATTAAGGGATCTGACAATATGTTTGCTGATATCCTTTCCAGGTACTGTAGACCCTAAATCTTGTCCGACCTCGCAATAAGTTCAGAAATCCTCCGTTTCGAAGATGGTCAAGACTTTAATAGGTCCCTAGTAGCGTTTTCTAGGTTCCATTTAGGATAAGGAAGGTTTTCTGGGAAAATAAAATCGAAAATTTTCTTAGAAGGCATCAGATGGTCGTCTAGATTAACCAGATGGTCGTCCATGCTTGTCACTAAGCCATGGACGGCCGTCGATTTTGACCAGATGTTAAGTGGTAAAAAAGTTGATATAATTATGCTTTGAATTGTTATGAAATCACTTAACTTATGTTAATTCTAATCTATTTTTCTCCCAATGTATGATGAATTCGAGAATACCTTGATACAAAAGTAAGGAACATAATTGTCAACATAATTGGAGCAAAACTGAAAAGAAGAAGATTTTCAGCATGAAAGTCGCTCGAGCGAGATAGACTCTCGCTTGAGCGAATATCAGTTAAAACTCTCTGAAAGTCAGTCGCTCAAGTGCCAGTAAATTCGCTTTAGCGAATGTTAGTTATTCTTCTTTGGAGCTCACTCGCTCAAGCGAGCAATTTATCGCTTGAACGAAAATAGGGAACTTTTGCTTGAGCGAGTGTTGTCGCTTGAGCGAAAGACGCGAGACTCAATTTTTTCTATAAAAAGATAAGATGTGTTTTAAGAAAAGTAAGCGGTTTTGGGGAGAAAAGGTGCGACTATTGCTAGGATTTCATCCAATCCTCATCAGTTATTTACTTCTTCCACATTTGGAGCATTGTAATGGCCAACATGAGTGACTAACTTCATTCTCTTGGGAATTGATGCACTTCCTTTGAACTCTTTTGTATCTTGGTGATATTTTGAGATATTAATCTATGCTTTGATGTTATTATTCTTATCTTCTATGCTTTGGAATGATTTATTCTTGATGTTTGGGGTATGATTAAAAAATATATCTTACACCCTAGGTCACAGTAAGAATATTTATTACGTTAATTGCCAAGAATGGAATGAATGTATCAATTGCTTAACATCCTAAACCTAATGCTGAAAAATCTCTTAATTGTGTGCGAAATCAACATTTATTAGGTTTTCTTATGAATTTCATGTGTGAGAAATCAACATGGATGATTTGAGTAGGTGACATCAACATTGTTAGGTTAATTGATGTTCTTAATTGATATAGTCATTGCAAAAGAAGGATAAGGAAGGAAGTCAATCCTAAGTGCCTTTAATTGATCTTTTCTCAATAATTTACAGTTATTTGTCATTTAATTTCAATTCAACTCTTTTTGCAAAACCCATTTTGTTTTAATCCATTTAATAAGCATATAATTGGGAATTTCTATTGAAATCGTTCCTCGTGGGGTCGACTTTTATTTAATTGAAATACTATACTGCGATTGATAATTTTGGTACGCTTGCCAATAGATCAACACCAGACAGTCATCCATGATAAATAGATGGTTGTCCATGCTCATTTTAGGCCATGGGCGAGTGTCCACTTAAGCTAGACGACCGTCCATATTTCCTGGCGCGTTTCCCTATAAATAGGGTCTCATTTCTCACATTTTCACACACTCACACCCCTTTCTCTCTACCTAGAAGGCATTTTTGAACCTCTAAGTGACTCTGAACTTTTTTTCGGAGTCTGAGTGATCTTTTAGACACTCAAGAGAGTTAAAAGTTTTCTTTTCCTTTGGAGAGAGGAGTATCATTGTAGAACGAGGGGATCGTAAAAAAACATCCTCAAGTTTTAAGTTTTATAAGAGCTCGCTTCAAAGGTTCTTTTCTCTATTATCTCTTTTATAGCTTTAATTTATTGCTTTCCTTTGTGTGCATTAGATATTAGGGTCATGTAGATTGCTATTTAAATACTACAATGAATAAATAGGGTAGAAACATAATTTTTATATCTTTGTTTTATGATTATTCCATCATAGGGAACCCGAAAGGGATGTTGTGCAGTGCTAACACCTACCCCACACGTAACTAACTCCCTTACCCAAGTCTGGTTATAATAGTCAAAGTTGATTTTTCTTAAACCAACGCCTTCTTTTTGTTTTCCTGTTCCAATGTTTATGGTAAAAACATTGGTGGCAACTCCAGAACCCTTTTTACGAAAACCTCGTTCTTAAGGGTAGTTCGGTTGTCGAACACTTTAAGAGAGATAATCACATTTTTATACTAAACGCGAGTCATCAAAACCATCACGTCGCTTCAATCACGTTTTACGACGGTAACAGATGACAACTCCACTGGGAAAGTCATGAGAGTTGATCTCACTTAGTGATGGAATAATCCAAAAAATAGTAGATTTAAAATTATGCGTCTATCTTTTCTTTGTTTGAATAACATGTTTTACTGCATGACTTTAATAAACTGTGGTTTGTTTATTTTTTGCAATTGTTTGAAATACAAATTATACACAATCCTTTACATAAAACAGTTCCTCTATACCCGGGGGTAAGAGTGAATACACATAGGGAGTGAGTGATGTTTATGACCGACCGTGGTAATGGCCATAGTACCAGCAAGTCATTGTCAGAAGCCACCACTTAAGGTAATAACCCTCCTTTCTCATTCTGCAGGACGTTGACAAGATACTTGAGCCACGCATGGTTTGAGGACTGAGAGATCGTGGGAACCCTATAATGACGACACTTTGGGGATCTGACCTTGGTGAGGACAGTTAGAACCTACCTTTGCTAATGTACTTTTCTGCAGAAAACCCCTACCTCGTAATTAAACATCATCACTCTGTTCACGGATAAATGAATTGTTTGTGCACTTGTTTGTTGCATTTTGTTTGTCACATTTGCATAACATAATCATACAACAACAAATAAAAAATAATAATACAAATAAAAGTAACATATCAAAACCTTTTTACAATAAACAACCTTATCTCGAACAGTCTTCATTTAAGCTAGTCTGGTTTTCAGGTTCTTTGTAAGCTAAGTAGTCACGTTGACTTACAGAAGAGATAAGAGAATCATAAAGCAAAATAATTTTATAACAAACCAACTTTATCTCAGACAATCCTCATTTAAGCTAGCCTGGTTTCAGGTTCTTTGTAAGCTAAGTAGTCACGTTAACCTACAGAAAAGATAAAGGGGTAACAAAACAAATAATAAAACGATTTTGACAAAGTCAAACCATTCATATCCTCATCATTTCAAGAGTGGTAAAATAAGAGAGAAAAATAAATGCATAATAAAGGAATGCATGCACATAAAATCTCTCATAATTCTTATTATCTCTCCCTTATTTAGATACGGGTATGCTCTACACTTGTCTCCTATGGAAATCTATGTATGAGAAAGCTTTGATCCCTGAAACTAATTTATCTCAAAGTTTTCTTATTATGATAAAATATGAATTTGAATGGACTTTTAAATTATGATGGTGTTCCTATACCACAACAAATTTATATTTTTGATAAAAAGGACCTCAATCCAAAATGATATTAGCCTAACAATTTTCAAAAGTCACGAGACAACCTTCTAGAAATGGATAAGAGAACCCTAGGTACTATCACTAACAACTAATTAAGTGGAATTATTCAGGACAATAATTGTAACTCCAATTCCATGTCTCCACTGTAATTTTTTTATTCAATTCCATGTCTCAACTATAATTTTTTTATTTTGGAATAGTCTGCATTCCATCATAATCCTTATTAAATAACTGTCCTAAAATAAACAAAAAATTGATATTCTTACTTGAATATGAGAAAGTCTCCATAATAATATTTTTGCCAGATATATCCTATTTCAAATTCAATACAAAGTGGAATGATGATAGGAGAAAGAGTTGAAAGTTATACCCTTAAATGTCTTCAGGTACAGGCAGATCCTCATCATCTGGTGCATTGGAAACCCACTCCCCATCCTCTCTCTTCACCATTCCCTTATTCTTCTCCACCCACCAGGACCCAGGCACGCCACACTCATCCTTCAGAAACTCACTCGACTTGTTCACCAGCGCCAAACTCCTCTTCACTTTCAACTCAAACCCCCCATGCTTCCCGTTCCACCCTGCCACCACGTGCAACATCGCTTGCAAGTTATGCCAGTCGCTTGGGTTCTTTGAATCCTTCAAGCTCGGCGACTTCCGCGTGTCGATCACCAGCTCCACGCCCGAGTACTCGTACCCCAACAACTTCCCTGGGTAGTGTGGGATCACATCGATCACGTTCTTCACGTGCAAAACCTTCAGGTTTGGGAACTTGTTGAACCGGTCATGGAAGGCCTTGTTTCCAATCTGTGGGGACCCAAACACGATGGCCGCGACCGGGATGTCCTTTACCCCGTTTTCCACCAAGTCAAAGGCACTCACGATGGATAGGCTTGCACCCAGGCTGTGTCCCATGAGGACCACACTTGGATTCTCAGATTTATAACGTTGAATGAGGGATTTTACGCGGGAAAGAAGTTGCGTTCTTGCGCTGGTTTTGGTGAAAGGAGAATTTGGGTCATCGGAAGTATAGATCGTGAGCCAACCTGACATCACCTTCGGTGTTCTTGAATTATCTTCATCATCGCTACTGCTACTGCTGCTTCCTGTTAAATGATACGAATTAAATGTAACTTTTCAGGGTTACATGATCAGAAAACATTTAGAATTCTAGGTACTACTTTATCATTCATAATTGTTCTAGCAAACAAAATTTTATAATAGGGTAAAACTCAAAGGTTATTCTGAATTGGTCTCTGTCTTCTTTAATGTTTTCGTATCCATTCAACTATTAATTCAAAATACAATTGTACGAAAACCTTTAAATTCCTATGAATAATTAAATTCTCACTTTATATTGAAATGAAATGAAAATATAGAAACATGATGAATGCAATTCTAATTAAATTCTACGAGTATTTTTCATATTCTATCTTCAAGTAAACAACAACAAAAAATTTCGAATAAAATAGAATTTTCAATAAAAAAAACTATAAAAAATAACTTTATTTTAATTATTATTATTTTTTTCTTTCCCAAGAGTGAAAATTATTGAAGTGGTGATTATTACATGTAATCATGGACATGCTTTAACTATTGAAGATAAACGAGTGGAGTATACCGTCCTTGTTTCGTCCCTTCAACTCTCTGATGCTTTCCGCGTTGAGCAACCCCGCAGCGGACTTTGGCCCGGCGCCGAACACGTTGATCCACTCCATGTTTCTCGACGTGCCGCGCCACACAACGTAGATTTCCCTCCGCCCGAGCTCCTTCGAGCGCTGCTCCGACGTGACGGCGATGTACCCGATCCAGTTGGACTCGCGGTCCCACGCCTCGCGCGAGAGCGAGTGGACGAGGAAGGCCTCGGGAACGGAGACTTTGGCGGTGGCGTAGAGGAACGCCGCGACGTCGTAGTGATCGGGGTCGTCGAGCATGACCTTGCGGAAGAACGAGGACTTGCCGTAGCGGCTGGAGCCGCAGAACGGCGAGTTTTCGTCGTTGTTGAAGGCGTCGTAGGTGGCCTGGATAAGGTCGCCGCAGCGGAGGATCAGGGAACGGAGGGAGAGGTGCAGAGGGTCCAAAAGCCCCGCCCAATTTTGGTGGCCCAGCAGTTGGGCCCACGTCGGTTCGGAGGCCATGGGAGCAGTAAGTAAGTAAGTAAGTGTGTGGTGGAAGACAAGCTCAGAGAGAGAATATTGTTTATAAAGAGATATGCGTTATGAAGTGTGTTATGTATTATAGTGATTGGCTCTCAATTTTCAACTTCATGATATGTAATAAGCCTTTATCTAAATAATAAAAAATGGCTTATCATGATATATTAATCACACTATATACACACTATACATATTATTCGCTTTAAATTTTGAATCTTAGTTTGTTATATTTTTATTTTTAAAACACGTCCATAATTTAAGAAAAAAATGGTATATTTTTTAACTTTATGTGATGTTTATATCAATTATATACTTTTCATTTCAAATTTATATTCATATACTATATAATATCATATTTTATTAATACACAAAATGCATAATATCCATAATTTCATGCATGATTAATTCTAATATCTATTTTTTTTTCATATTTAATGCTTTCCTAAATAATGTTTTGACTGTAATAGTTTTATAAACATATGATTTTGATTTTTGTGAAAAAATTAGTTGCACATTTCATCGAATGAATTTCTAAAAGAAAAATGATACTTTGACACCTGAATTTTATACAACTTTAACCAACAACCCACTTTTAATATTATAATAATAATTTTAATTTATTTTCATTTTTATTTAATCTCTTTCATGATTATTATATTAATAAAATGGGATGTTTTTTGAGTTGTTTTTTCTTATGGTTGTCAAAATATCATGACACTTTCTAAAATTCAATATTTCATATCTTATTATTAACATAAACCATTACGTATTCATAAATAATAATATGGTTAATTACTTATTCCCACAAACTATTACAAATAAAGTTTAACAATAAACTCTTTATTATTTTATGCATTAATAATTTTTGTAGGTTAATAAATAATTGAAGTGAATTAACTAGACATAATTTTATAAAATCAAAAGACTAAATATACAACTAATTTTTTATGTCATTGGCTATGTTGTGAGCGCCGACGAAGACTTTCTAAATCGTAAAATTTGTTTACAATACAATAAATATAGAATGTATATTTTCGATTTAATACTCTTTTGAGTCCTTAAAATTTATAATAATTTCTATTTAATTTTAAAAATATAAAATTAATACTTCAATTTAAGATTTGTCAGATGATGTTTAACTTATATTTTCTATTTTTCGTTTATTTAGAAAAAGTTTAAGTTTCATAATTCCACGTCTTTAAAAAAAGTATTACAATATAAAATAAAATTTAATTAAATATGTTATATAAATCATTAAATTTAGTCACATATTGTTATCTTAGTTTTAAATATATATTAATTTTAAATCATACTAATTTTTTTAGATTAGACTAACGTTATTGTTATACTTCACCAAGTTGAATATAAGTAAAAGATTCTTGAAGTTTAAAAGAGACTAAAATGTAAGCACATTTCATCTAATTGGATTTAATTTAATGTCATTATTATTATTATTATTATTATTATTATTATTATTATTATTATTATTATTGTGATAATAAAGGTAGTAAAAAGTTCATACAAACTTCCATATATATATATATATATATATATATATATATATATATATATATATATATGTCATAATGTTATATTACTTTCTGTATTAAGATTAACTTTCTGCCTTATAAATTAATTTTATTACAAAATTAATAAAAAAAAACGGAAAGAAAGGGGAAAAGGAAAATAAAAAACAGAGCGGGTGAATGGGGGCGGAGAGGGAAGAACTGGAAGAGTGAGGGAGTAGTAAGATCTGCCTCTAATCGCAATTTCTGATTGCAAATCGCGGTTTCTCAAACACTCCAAGCGTGATTCGTTCAAAACGAATGAAGTTTTAGCTCATTACAGCGCTCTATCTTTGGGATTCAGGATTTGCGTTCGAAGAAAGTCACGTCGTGTGTTATCTTCCGCTGGAGAGGATAAAGAGAACAAAAAATGGCTACAGTTGATGTTATTAAATCTTGCATAGACTCCATTAGACAGGTAGCACGATCCTTCCAAAGTAGAATGTTCAATTCAGTTTTATGTCTGTTTCTTCTTTTTGTTGAATGGTTTTGTAGGGCTCTGCAATGATTAATATTCTTAATTTCACAAAATGAAGAACCAATTGGATGTAACTTGTAAGTAGAATAAAGGAATATTGAAATGCTTGTTTTGATGTATGTATCGTTCTTCAGGTGAAGTTTTTTGTACTCTATTAGTCAAATGAAACAATGGGAGGGGTTAGATAAATGTAGCTTGGTCTATATTAGTGTCCTTGGACACCTAGGTTAAACTTGTGCAACCATTTTTAGATGGAGAGCTATAAACCAGGTTCTGTTTAATGCGATTTAAGAAGTTATTTTTGCCTTAAGAGTCATGGTATGAATTTGAGAGCAAGGTTTTAAACTGCCTGCTTTTGTTGCTATCTTAGATATTGTAGGAAATTGTAGACACAGTTGTGGTTGCGTTGTGGTCGCAGTGACCCCAAAAGTCCGTGATCTCATGGCCAAAATCACAGTCACAAATTGATTTTGAAAAAGTAAACTGCACTTACTTCGTCAGATTTTTTCAGATTGTACATAATACCCCTCCTTTCTTGTCCTACATTAAGGCTCTTAATTGTTTGATAAACATTACACTTACATATCTCTTATATATTACCTAACTTTTCTTAATTGTTTGAAAAACATTGCATCATGGTTGTTGGAAATGTTAAAAAATTGAAGGTGTTATGTGCCATTTTAAAAAATATTAGGGAGTGTCAGGATAATTTACACTTTTTTAAACCTTTTCCGGAGCTGTATCAGCGGATCATCCATTAGCATGAATTTGCATCCCAAAAGGCAATAAGTTGTCACAGAACTAATTCTAATATCAAGATTTGAAGATATGATCATCCAGGGAAGTTAGGTTTTAGAATGCTTTGAAGCTGTGTTTCATCCAAATCTATATTTATTTTCTTAATTTTGTGCTTATGATGGAATAACTATGTGTTTTTCTTCTTTTTAACAAAAAGTAAACTTATTCATTTGTAGATTTGTGGCCAATATAGTCGCTGTTAGACATGTTATACTGTACATGTGAATTTGATTTTTCTTCTGACAATTTTACCTGATTCTACATGTTACATCTGTAACCACATGATCCGTTTCCTTTAAATTTTTCCAGATATCCGAGCATATTCAAGATGCTATTGTTTATTTAGATGCTGGATCTACAGAAAGTTTCCAATTTGTTGGTGCATATCCAGTACTTCTTGAACTTGGAGCACGGGCTATTTGCAGTTTGGAAAACATATGTGCACTTGATGTTGTAAGTTCTTGTTTCATATTAGATTGTTGCTTGAGTTGTCTTTTTATGCTTTCAGTAAGCTACCGATATTTCATTATCATCTCATTGAGTGATTTGATTACCATAAAATTTAAGGATATTACTGTTTTCCTGTTTTGAAAAATATTATATCACAGGCTATGCAATAGAATGAACAATTGTTGGTGATCTGCTTGGATTTTCACTTTACAAATACTTCCTTCTGGCCAAAGTTTGTAGTTCATTAATTACTGTATCAATGAATGGAGGGAGAGCGTGTATCAGCTTTAGTCAAGTTTGAGTTTAGTTTAATTATGAATATCTATAATTCATCTAGTACCACTATGTCTGATGTTCAGAATTTTGATTTGAATTTTCGTATACAAAAAACCGAAAATATTCTTCAATTAATAATTCTGAATTCCTTTATTGAAATACGAAGATAACTATTTCTCACCGAGTTGTCAGTAAAACTTTCTAAGGCTTTCTCTATTGTAATTTTAACGCCACTCTGGCCTCTTCTCCTTGTTTTAGGGAACATGTGAATACTTATTATCATTTGTGAATATTGTATTCCTGCTTTTTATGGATCGAGTCATTTTGGGATTGAATGGGCTGAATGTCCCCAAGTGCTTGAATAATAGGATGTGATCTTATTCTGTTTTTAGTGATTGGATTATTCTTTCTCAGGCATGTTTATTCAGTATTTATTTTCATTCCCTTTCCCTTACTTGATACCTGTGGGAGTGTCACAAAGGGTAGAGAAAATTTTGAAGTTTTTTCTCTGGTCTTGCATGGCCAAGCAAAGTAGCAGAGGGAATTTTGTCAGTTGAAGGTTTTTTGCAAACTTCAGAATCCCAGATTGAAGGATGGATTGAGTTTTGTCTTGATAATCTAATATGCAAAAGCATGACTTTGGCAGCACATTTGCTATGGTGTATTTGTGCGGACACAAATGCCCGTGTGTTCAATGGTGTCTCTTTACCCATAAAACTATTATGAGTGAAATTGTATTTGTTGCCACTTGGGTGCTCATTTCATGGTTGCTTTGACAATAATGGCATTGTAGGAGATTGAATTGCTCTTTTGCATGTTTAAGGCTTTGAGTTACTTTGATTCCTTATACTGCCCCAGATTACCCTCTCTACTTTCTTTTACTGATTGTTTTATTTTATTTTATATAAAACACTGCAATGCATGCAAATAACATGAAATGTAGTTTATTAGACTGCGAAAAATTATACCTAAAATATGTAATGTGTTGCAGCATTAGTGTTTCATTCTGTGACTGAATGGAGCCAGTATAGTGAATGCTTGCTGAATGGAGCCTTAATGATGCATTAGGTTATTTATCTCTATAAAAGATGTGAACTCTTTATACCAAAATTTGGAAGGTCATATCTTACATTTTGTCTTGAGATCTTGAGACCATATTTCTTAATCTTATCTTCAGAGGCAGATGGAGGTGACCTGGTGGGGCCGTAGTCACTCTCATTTTTATTTTTTTTAATCTTTATTTAAATGATTATAAAGATGATTTTGTGGCCATCCTAATACACATGAATAGTTTATCTAATTATTTATTTATTATTTATTATTATTATTATTATACTGCTTTGTACTCTAGTGAATACAAATATGTGTTTTATTCACAAAAATATATTATTTATATAATAAATTTTTGCATATGTTATGTCTGTGAAAATTTAATTTTTCTTTTAGTAACTCGTGCTTTTTTGTTTTTGACCCCCTTTGAGACAAAGTTCTAGGTCTACCTCTGATTATCTTTTCCTCTTGAAATTCACATAAATCTTGTTTGAGCATAAAAAATCTGTGAGTTTTAATGCTTGCAGATGATGATATTATAGAATTGAATAGTTCTTAATCCTTCTCCTACCTTTTATGGTAAGTATAAGATGAAAGTAAATGTATTTAAATGTCTTTTATTGGAATTTTAAATATAAATATTTACTGTAAAAGAGAGTAGGGGCATTTGTAGGAGGAGTATAGCCTTGCCCTATAGACTTTGTTCTCATCCATTCCATGATTCCATCTTTTTTCTTCGTGAATATATAGTTGATGCTGTATGTAACCATGTATAGAGATATTCTTTTCATCTGCTGGCTCAGATTTCTGTATGTTTCCAAAGTATTTGTACTATAATACTCTGTGACTACTTTTAAGCAAGCTACATGTATTGTTACCTACTTTTACTAATGTGTCCTTGTTTAGGTGGTTGATTGGAACTCAAATTCTGATCCTGCAAGGAAACTTGTGGCTATCACATCAAGTCTACTAAGTGATGCTCACCGGTATATTTTACGTTGCTTGAGCACACATCAAGTTGTTCGTCATTGCACTATATTTACATCTATCTCAGAGGTGCTTATTTGCAATTATGTCTCTTTTTGTCTTTTTCTATTCCCTCCTTGCCTCTTTGTATTTGTACATATATTATCTATCCTTGTTTCATACATTTAATGTTGTTGACTTACCTATCCATTAAAAAATATGGGCTTTTACGTATGTGGATGATGAGTCAATTTTTATTCTTTTAGATGCATAAAATAATGATTTAGCTGCTATCTACTTAAAAAGCCTTACTACACATTATTTTGTAATAATTTGATGCGGATGAACATAGTGTTTTTTCAGATAGAGGTTAGTTTTATAAGCAAATTAGAAATGGAGCTTGATCATCTTTATTATTATATTATTATTATTATTATTATTATTATGGTTGTTGTTGTTGTTGTTTTTATTATTATTATTGCATGGCATTCTAGTATCAATTTCTTTTTCTAAACATCCATGACAGTTTAAACAATGACATTATTAACCTGGCCTGTACTGTAATTACTCTTTTTTTTGTCTCTTGCTATAGTAAAATTAGCTACGAGTTTTTGAAGAATGAGTTATGTTTGCCAAGTTGCAATTCCAATGAAAGATATTGATAGTGTTAGCGGTGGTCCTAGGGAGGAAAAATAAGAAAAAGTGAAATAGGTTTCTCCATAAGTTAAAATTAGCTTATTTACAAGTTAAAAAAAAAAAAATTAAAAACCACGAGAGCGCTTCTACAAATATGTTTATGCTTAAACTAATTTTAACTTTTGGAGAAACTCAATTTTTTATTCTTATTTTTTTCTTCTAGAAGTCTTTATGGAGAAGTTTGTCCAAACAAACCCTTAATTAATGTGGTTTCCAAGCTGTAAAAAAGAAACGTTGTTATAGTTGAAATAGAAACAGAAATATCAGCTATTGCAAATAGTTTGGGTGTCTGTAGATAATTTAGACAAATAAAATGCCTTGGGAATAAATCAACAAGTCAAAAGCAGATGGTAATTTATTTAATTAGCAATAATGTCTTCAGTTCTTCTAAACTCTTGTCAATCTGGATAGTTGGTTATTTTTGCTAGAATAAAGGGATGCACTCATTATTTATCACCAATGATCAACATGAGGGTGAAATTATTTTATCTAGTAACGATATTGTGGCTGCTAGTTTATAGTTAACTCGTCCCAAAACCTATTTTCTACATAATTTCCTATCTTTTTATCCTTTTTTATGAATTTTCTAATACTAATAAAAAAATGCAGACAGCACATTCAGCATTTCCTGATTCACCGCTGGGACCAGATGCATATCATGAATATGAATCCTTACTGGTTCAAGATTATGAAGAACTAGTCAAGAAATCAGGGACAAAACCTGGACAGGGAAAACAAAACGTTGAAGGTGGAGGACGTTCAGAGTTTCCTTCCAGCGGAGAGGATGTTCTTAATCTTGAAGCTAGTCCAAGTGGAAGAGATTTTTATGGGAACAATTCATTAGACTACATTGAAGAATCAGTGCCGAAATTGGTTGTTTCTGTTCATCATTTTCCCATGATTTTATGTCCAATTTCACCAAGAGTATTTGTTCTACCTTCTGAAGGGTTGGTAGCTGAAGCACACTTATCGTCTAACCATGAAGATTCCTTTAGTTCTGGTTTGCCTCCCTTAAGTACTGGTATGAACTCTGATGCTGATGATGTGCCTCCAGGGGCTACCCTTACAGCACATTTTCTCTATCATTTGGCTGCCAAGGTAACAAGTAATATGCATTCTTAAACTGAAATGTGTGCATACTTCTGGTGATTTTATTTCAAGATTTTTATTTTTTAATTTCTCATGATTCTTGTATTCTGTACTTCACTTGAATGCCAGATTCAATCTTGAACATCATAATAGGTCTGTGATAGAACTGCTGCATTCAACATTATACTGTTTTACTAGGGTTCTAATCCTTCCATCTTGAAAAACTTTACTGGAATAATAAATTTCTAGTAAGAGTGTTACTCATTCAAATATATCTTACTGTTTGATTCATGTAGCCAACCTTTTGTTTTGTTTATTGTTTCTCCTTAGACTGCTACCTTGACAATTAATTCTCTTGTTTATGATATAGATGGACTTGAAAATGGAAATTTTCTCCCTTGGTGATATATCAAAAACTGTGGGAAAAGTTTTGACAGACATGTCAAGTCTTTATGATGTAGGCCGCCGCAAACGTTCAGCAGGGCTGTTACTCATTGATCGTACACTTGATCTTCTCACTCCTTGCTGCCATGGGGACTCACTTTTTGACAGAATATTTTCTTCTTTGCCCCGTAGAAATAGAACAATTTCTGGTAAAGGCTCAGGAAGCCAACTCAAACTTGGTTCTTTCCACCTGCAACGTGCTCCTTTAGATGTTCAGATACCACTTGCTAAGATCCTTGACGAAGAAGATTGGAAAATAGACAATTTTCGTCTTTTAGAAAGCGTTGAGGCTTTTTTGTGTGGGTGGAATTCTGATTCTCAGATTGCTGGCTTGATTAACCTTGGCCAGAAAATTCATGACAAGCCTAGTCCTACTGATGTAGTTATACTTAATGGTTCCTTTGTCTCCTCTGAAAACTTCCGTGGAATGCCATTTTTGGAAGCTATTCTCGATAGAAGAACGAAAGATGGGGCCTTACTGGTAAAAAAATGGCTACAAGAAACGATGCGCAGGGAAAATGTTACTGTAAATGTGAAGTCTCGTGCTGGTGCTTTTACAAAACCAGAGATGCAAGCTATGATAAAATCTTTGTCGAGGAACCAATCATCTTTGCTAAGGAACAAGGGCATTATCCAATTAGCTTCAGCCACGTTATTTGCCCTTGAGGAATCAAATTATACCCAATGGGATGCATTTCGCAGTGCAGAGAAGATTCTGAATGTAAGTTCTGGAGAAACAAGTCAAAGTCTTGCGATTCAAATTGGTGATCTTATCAATAAGAGTGCTCTGTTGGGATCACATGTAAATGAAGGGAAAAGGGACATCTGTAAGGGGTTACTTTCTTTGCAAGATGCTTTGCTGTTGATGATCGTTGGATATATATTGGCTGGTGAGAATTTTCCAACATCTGGTGCTGATGGGCCATTTTCTTGGCAAGAGGAACATTTGTTAAAAGAAGCTGTTGTAGATGCTCTTTTTGAAAATCCTTCAGTAGCAAATCTCAAGTTTCTAGATGGACTAAGAGAAGAGCTTGAAACTAATGTTGTTAGCAAGTTAAAATCTCAAGAAACTGCTGAAGAGCCTTCAGAAGATATTGATGATTTTGATGATGATCAATGGGGAAAATGGGGTGACGAAGATGGTGATGATATAAAAAAAAATGAACAAGCTTATGGTGATGTGCAACTGAAGCTGGAGTTGCGTGATAGGGTGGACAACCTTTTCAAATTTCTTCATAAGTTATCTGATCTAAAAAGAAAGAATATACCATTGAGGGATGGATCATTGACAATGGAAGCTAATTTTGATGAGGATAGAAAAGGATTGCTTTATAGGCTACTAACAAGGGTGTTGGGCAAGTACGACGTGCCTGGGTTAGAGTATCATTCTTCAACTGTGGGGCGCCTGTTTAAGAGTGGGTTTGGAAGATTTGGCCTTGGTCAGGTAATTATGGTTTCTTAACTTCCGGTTATGCTGGACCTTGCTTTAGTAGTCCAGGTCAAATATGCTAATTATTATTTTTTTAACCCTTTTCTCTATTCTTCTTGTCAATACGAATACTGCAGGCCAAACCAAGCCTTGCCGATCAAAATGTCATTTTGGTCTTTGTTATTGGGGGCATTAATGGGCTCGAGGTGAAATTCTTGAATACCTTTGTCTCCTCTCTCCCTCTTATTATTTCCCTATGTATGTGAATAACATTATGGGCATGGTATTGCCATTAAAGTTTGAGAAGGTATTTCTAACTGATATTCAATTATAAACTGTCATATATGATAAATTTGTTAACTTTTACAATGATTACTTTTAAGCGTATTTTTTTATTAGTTGTCAGTGTAAAACTTTTTATATTGTCAGTGCTTATAAATTGAAGTTTTTAAAACTGATAAATTTGTATAAATGATGAGACTTTTGTTTTCTTTTTTCTTTATCCATAACCCTGTTTGTGTTTAATTTAAAACCTGATTCTTGATTATGTGGAACTGTTGTTACCTTACAAATTTTACTTTTGTCACTGTCATAGGTGCTTGAGGCTCATGAGGCATTGGCTGAAAGTGGAAGACCTGATATTGAGTTGCTAGTTGGTGGAACAACTCTTCTCACTTCTAATGACATGCTCGATTTACTGCTAGGGGACTCCAGTTACATTTAATTCGTTCATCTGTTAAAAAGTAGGAGATAGAAATTAAATTGAATTTTATTTTCCTAAATCCTGTACGTTGTAACTTTTATCTGTTGTATAGGCAGTTCTAATTGTATTTTCTCTTTCAAAATCAAAACAGAGAGAAATCAATAAAATTTCTCAGTCAAAATTGGCTTTCAAAAGTATAAATCACAGTTCAAGATTTTTCATGAGTTGCCATTACAAGGAAGCATGAAATTATATTGCAGAAGGACCAACATATTAGTGTTCAATGTGCTTTCAGTACTATTACACCTTGGACAAAAATTAACAAAAATTAAAAAATGAAAGAAAGTGAAATAAAATGAGAGAAATTAAAAAGAATAATGAGAGAGAATAAGAGAAAATTCTGTTTCAGGACTCATGTGATAAGAGTTACATATATCTCATGGATATATATATATATATATATATATATATATATATATATATATATATAGCTGAAAAGGTTGATGACAAAATTAAATCATTTTTGGTACTGTGGTTTAGCAAATCTATATTTTCGTCATCACAAAATTTTAATTTCAAGTGGTCTATTTTTCTGAAAAGAAATAAACAATTTTGGTAGATGATTTAATATATCATTTAATTTGTAATAAAAAAAGTCTATATATATAACATTTAATCTAAATAATTATATAATTTATTAACAACCGTAATTTGTAAAAGGACTAAAATCTCGACAAGTATATGGATTATTTTGACAATAATCAATTATCCAGTATATTTGAACACTAACTTATTCCAAAATTCTTAAAAAACTCAAAATATCCTCTTAATATATAAAGATAAATATCTCAATTATTTTAAAAAATTACAATAATTAAATATAAGTATAATATCGTATTGTTTTTCATTAATTGACTCGTATTTATTGAAGTATTGATAGGTACCTATTAGATAGAAACTTGACATTCCCTTTAAATTTTAATAACAAAAACAACAAATTACAATTGTTTAATATGGTGAGTACTAAATTTATAATTTAAATTTTATAGATACTAAAACCATATATTTGTGAATATATACGAACTAAAAATAGATTTAAGTCTTGTCGATAATCGTCAATCTCATGAACAACCAAAAGCTAAGTAACATAGCTTCTCTAAGTAAGGAAGAGTAAATAATCTTAATGGATTTTTCAAATGTTCTAAAACATCAAACAGAGGAAAGATATATGTTATTGACATTGAACTTCAATTTGTTTCATTTCAACAGTTTACCAAATTGATGTTTGTTTCACATCTAAGCAAAAGTTACTAGTTGTATGGTAGCTTCTGTAAATCACGTCAAAACACAAATTCAAACTAAGCACACATTCAGATCATCACTTGCTTTATTTTCTAAAATGAATTACTTGTTTTAAGGAGTTAAAAGCGAAGACATTAAACAAAAAAATTGAGCGAAGCAAAAACGGTTATATGTTAAAAATAAAATTGGCATAAATAAACATTTTAAAAGTATCAAATGAATGAAAAATTATAAAAATACTATACTTTATTTTAGTAAAAAACATTAGAAATTATCAAATTTGACGACTTTACTCCTAAGTTAATAAATCTATCTTTTAAATATTGTAATTTTTAAATGAGTTTTAACATATGAGAAAAGTGCATTAAAATAAGTGTGTTAAAAGAGTATTTTTCTAATTAATTTTTTATAGTACACCACTTATTTTTTTTATGCAGCGCAAACAAAAAGCCCGTATTAGAATTCCGGGTTTTTCAAAACCCGAACCAATTGACGTCCCTTCCCTCTATTCCCACATTTCCCAAAACCCCTCACTCTCTCTCACACACTCTTCCACCATGGCGGCACTGAAGCTTCTCCTCTCCCAAGCTCGTCGCCATTCCCTCGCCAAACGCGCTTCTCTCTCACACTCTCCTTTCTCTCTCACCTCTCACCGATTCCTCTGTTCTTCCTCCGAATCAAACTCAAACCCTCCCCGCACACCCTCCCAACCCATTTCCATCCAACCAGTTTCCTACCCCGTCAAGCCAAAACCACCGCCCCCCGAACCCTCGCCCGAATCCTCACCACCACCCGCCGAACCGCAATCTCTCCGCCCACCGACGGACTCGCGGCGCGCATGGACTCGCGAAGACATCCGCTACGTGAAGGACGCGCCTTCGATTGAGAGGGTGTCGTACGCCGCGCGTACTGCGCCTCTCCCCGACGACAAGGTCCCAACCGCGGCGGAGGAGTGGGAGGAGATTGAGAGGAGGAAGATCGAGGAGGCCGAGCATCAGCTGAGGATGAGAATGACGAAGGCCGCCAATGAGGAACGGATGAAGGTGCCGTTTCCGCTCCTAATTAAGCCCAAAAAGAACGAGAAGCCGCCTCCGCTTGATTTGGCAGAAGCCATTCGCCGAGTTAAGGTGAAAACAAAAGTCAGCAATTTAAATTATAGAGAGTTTCGAGTTGGGAAAACCATCAATTTGGTTCCTCGAGTATTTATTCTCTCTGTTAAGTCGTCCTTGACGTAATGAAATTATATAAGTAGTCACTAAAGTATTATTGAATATCCATAAATTAATTTCTTAATGTTCAGAGACTATTTTCAAGAATTTGTGTTTATACCTTAGGCACTACTTAACATGATTTATAAATAACATGGCTGAAGCTTTGGTGCTTTAACTGAGCCAAATAACACCCCGTTGAGTTTTTAATTTCAAATATTTATTATTGGTGAATTATGGCGACTCTATTGGCACGTATCCTCACCAATCTGTACCATTTTCTCAATAATAAATAGTGCTAAACAATGTTGTCAAACTCTCTAGTTAACTAGTAAACTGTTATTGTTTCAGGTAGAGAAAATGAGTTAATTCTTTGTTAAACTATTTTTTTTAGGTAAACTCGTCTAAACTCTCAAGTGAAGAAGTGGGTTAGTTAGTTTGAAATCAGATGTAATTTTTGGCCTCCATTGACCCCATAGTTTGTGTTTTGCTGGGCTCTAATGGTTTGAAAAAGTGTACTCCTTTATGAAATGTTTTCACTCTAAGAATTTATCTAGTTTACTTTTATTTAAAATAATGTACTATAACACTTCTTTTATTGTGGTTTGTTACTTTGCTTTACCATGGAGTTGAAATGTTGAATTGTTGTTTAAGAGTGTCTTGTTATGTGTAAATGTCCTGAATATTGCTTTTGCCTCTCGAGTTTATGATCTATGAAATCTCCACCAAATTTATGCTAATTCTTGAGTTTTATAACCTCGCTGCTAAACTAATGAATTGTTCAGATAGGTAAATTGCTAAATCACCTTGAATACTCCATCAGTTGTTGTCATTTAATATTGTTACATATTGCTCAGGCCAATGCCAAGGCAAAGTTTGATGAAACTGTTGAAGCGCATATAAGACTGGGTGTTGACTCAAAGCGAACAGAACTGGTATGTATCATTTGCCCCTTTTACTCTGTCTTGAATGTCTTTGTTTGCTTGAGTGATTCTCTGAACAACATAAATTTTGAATTTCACATGTAGACGTAAGGCTCCATAAGTTTGTGATGATCAACAAGTTGCATAAGTAAATACTTGGAGGTTATGCCTTTTGAACTTTTAAGATTAATGTCCAGTAATTTCTGTTTACTAAACAAAATTGATATTCTTGGATTTATATAGCTTTCATGTGCTACACACTTACCCTTGTGTACAATGACTTCAAGATTCTTATCCTACTACATATTTGTTATATATTTCTTAATACGGGCTGTATGACCTAGTTTGGCCTGACCTTACGAGCCAAGTAAATAAAAATTAATGGCCTAGCTTGACTTATATTCTAAAATGAACCATAATTTTCAGCTTGGTTTGACCTTATGTTAGGTCAACTAGTCAAATTTGGCCTGATTTTAAATTAAAAAAAAATTTATTAAAATGAGCTTATACTGAAACAATTAATTAAAAAAATATTTAAATGAAAACAAAACAAACAAATATATTTTTAAATTTTAAATTATATTATTAAGATATAATAATTTAAAATATACATTATAAGAAAATGGATTCATTCAATCTCAAAAGTTAAAAATTTATTCTTTGTTATTATCATTCTTATTTTAGTAATTTATTTATTTAAAATAGTAATTAATCTTAACTATTAGATCTTAGAATTAGTAGTTGTTAGAAATTTATTCTCATATTTACTCTTAGAACAAGTGAATTCTTTATTAAATTCATTTATAATACATATATATTTTTTAATAAAATAATATTATTTTTTTATTTAAAAAATAATTGTTATTTTATAAATTGGGTTGATCTATAAGTCTACAAGTTAGCCTGGTCTAAGCCCATGTAGGCCTGATTAAATTTAGGCCACAAATTTTTTTGGCCTAGCTTGGTTTATTTTTCGGGTCTTTTAGGTCGGTCTATCAAACTAAGTCTATTTTGACACTCCTAAGAATGAGTGGATGTTTCATTAAATATTTGATAATAAATTAAGGCTATGATAAGAAATTAGCTATTAATACATTTGAAGGGGTCCATGTTTCTTATTATAATTAAGACAAAAAAAGTGTACTCATTTGTTTCTAGTGTAAAGGACCAAATGGAGTAATATGGTAAAAGTTATAGCCTTTTCAAGTTCTCTAAGCATCATATGCTGTGAAACTATTATTATTGTTATGATTATTATTATTATGAATGAATTATCATGGAAATTTTCTTTTTTTGTGCTTGTACATCCAAATCACTGTTATATGCCCCGTTTTTTCTGGATAAAAATCATACATGCTGTTCCATCGATCCTTTGCTTTAGAAGATAATGATTTCAACTCTGGCAGGCAGTTCGTGGTACTGTGATTCTGCCTCATGGTGCTCCCAAGGTAACTTATGAATGTTAGGCAATTGATATAATGGTAGGTTTGTCATCTAATTATGCATACCTTCCAGGCCGTCAGTGTGGCTGTTTTTGCAGAAGGGGCTGAGGCAGAGGAAGCTAAAGCTGCAGGAGCTGATATAGTTGGTGGTAAAGAGCTTATTGAGGAGATTGCTAGTAATGAACTGTTCTCTTTCTACAAATAATTTTGTACATGATGTTGATATTCCCACTCTAAATTTGTGTAAAGCAAATGTGCAGATGCATATTGTCCCTTGCCTAGTTGGTTTCATTCTTACTTTTCTTATTTTTATAGCTGGATATTCAACTCCTTCTGTACGTGCATGCCCACTTCTAGTATATGCTTGTTTTATCTGCTGTTATTTTTCTCCTTTGTTCTGCTTGTGCACACACCTAAACGTAGTGTTTTAATTTAGGCAAACATCTAACATAATTTTGTCTGGCATGTGCTTAAGAGACACTTTAACTGTAACCCAGCTGTGAATGGAATGGAATATTCTATACATGTCTTTGGTGCCTATAGTTTTTCCTTTTCATGCCAAAATATAAGCTCAAACTGTATGTATCCACATCTAATATTAACTTATCTCCTTTGTTCTGCTTGTGCACACACCTAAACGTAGTGTTTTAATTTAGGCAAACATCTAACATAATTTTGTCTGGCATGTGCTTAAGAGACACTTTAACTGTAACTCAACTGTGAATGGAATGGAATATTCTATACATGTCTTTGGTGCCTATAGTTTTTCCTTTTCATGCCAAAATATAAGCTCAAACTGTATCCACATCTAATATTAACTTATCTACACTTGTAGGTGGTAAAAATAAGCTCAAAGTTGACAAATGCTTCTCGACTCCTGGAATGGCACCTAATCTTGGAAAGGTTTTTTTCCCCTTTAATTATAATGGTCTTATACTTGCAAAATCATCTGAATGAATATTTTTTTTTTCTCTTCTAAAGCTTATATGAACTGTTATGTAGATAGCACAATACCTTAGAAAACGCAGACTGATGCCAGATAAGAAGGTTAGTTTATCAACATTTGCTGGCATTCTTTTTAAAGTCTGAGACTATGTGGGTTGTATGTAACTCTTGTTTGGTTGTTTTTATATGGTCTACAGCTAGGTACTCTCACCAGTGATATTGCAGGGCAGTTAAAAGAGTTAAGACAGGGGCGTATTGAGTTCAAAATGGAAAGTAAATCAATTTTGCATGTGGGACTTGGAAAGGTACCCTGTTGTTATCTTCCAACTCTTTATAGGCTTCGTTATGCAATAGGTGTGTTGTATGAGATGTTTTGTGCTTCCAATATTATCCACAGGTTAGCTACAAAGAAGACGCCTTACGGGAGAATATTAGTGCATTTATGAATGCTGTATTGCTTGCAAAGCCTGCTGGCTTGAAGAAGAGTAAGTAGCTCATATGTCCTTATGCTTCCCTTCTCTCTGTATTTACAAAAAATTAGATGATATGTCATATCACAACTGATAATATTATCTCACAATTCTCTTTATTATTCAGCTTCCAAATATGCTGGGTATGTGCTGTCTGCCCATATAAGTAGCACGGTAAGCTCCTGCATCTCGTTATTGTTTCATTCTTTTGTGTATCTAAGATTGAAAGCTACCATTTCATTCTTGCATTTCACATACTCTACGAAAGTTGGGGTGTACATTTTACTCGTCCTCCCCTATTCGTTTCTGAAACAGAAAGTGGGTGGCATTATTTTTGCTGTTTTATGCAATACAAATATCTGGTCAGTATGCAACTAGAACTCTGTCTCCACCTAGTGGGAAAAGGCTTGGTTCTTATTATTTTATGCAAAAATATAACATCAAGAATTTTGATTTGTACGGGGTTTCTCACGAGTCAGTCATTTGTCTCTCATTGTTGTTTCTCTGATATGTACGTATTCAGGATGGTATGTAGTTTCTCTGATTTAGCCTTTAATAGAGTATCAGTAAAACATTGTATAGGATTAAGGAATACATAATAGTGAAAATTTCCACGTTTTTAATTGTGGAAAGGTTGCCCTGAGGAAGTTAGATCGATTTAGAGCAGCAATGCAATCAGATAGCCTTCGAAGTTAAAATAAGTTGGGAATTGAACTGTTGAGATTATACGATGATTAGATCTTATTCATTCATGATACAGAACTTGAATTTAAGTATGGTGAGACCTTAGAATTAATGATAAAAATGTTAAAAAGGGAGTGGGGGTGAAAGATAACGAGGTAGTTCCTTATCTTTGCGATATCAAACTCCTGCTCAATTAGATCTTATAATTTTTTAATGTAAAAAGGTACATTTCCGTAGCATACAGGATCATGATTGCATTGGTTAGTATGGGGAGATATAAAAGTGATCATTAGTGATTAAAGATAGGAGAATCAACTTGGGCAAGAAAGAGTGAGCAATGAGAGGGTAAGTGAAACAAAAGAGAGGGAGTTCTATAAAATGGGAGAAGAGAAGGTCAAATTTGCTAGTGTCATCCATTGCAGTGATGGTGCATTGTGTCATTCTTGTAGCGTTGAAGTTATTTTGTGCTATCCTATTAATGCAGATGGGCCCAGGATTACCTGTATCAATACAGTCATTATCCCAAGCTGCAGATAACTACAAGAAAACGCATGTGGTATGAATCATGTGGATATGGCAAACGTGGGCATTCAACATGAATCCAAGTTTAGATGAACATATGTCGGTAGTATTTTTTATTTTGTAAGCTGTTTAGTGATGTATGTGCCAATAAGCGAAAATTTTGACATTGTGCGAGCTTGTTGAATTTTCTGGTTGCCAACTGGTGTATCATTTTCCTCATTGCAACACTGAAAATCATGGCACGAAATTAATTCATTTAAAGTATTACAGGCTAACTCTTTGATATCTGGATTAATGGTTTAATGTTTCTCTTTAAACTGATTTTATATGACAATAGACTTTTTTTAGGTTAGATGTGTTAAGAAAGTAAAATATTTGTGGCAATGTCTTTGGTGGTTGCTTTTATCTGGTATATTTTGCAGTGGTGAGTGCAAGTGATGTTTTAAACGCTTTGAAGTTTTCGTATTTTTAAAAATAATTCATGGAAAACAATTGTCATCGAGTTTTATACGGGCAAAGAAAAAAATGCTTAGAGGAGCATGTTATTCGTTTTCATGTAATTTCAGATATTTAAGATTCGAGTTTGTTGATTACGAGATCAATATATGTAAATACAAATGCAGCTACTCAAATTTTTTATTTTGTATGATTGTAATAGGAAAAAACGCACTCAAAATCTAAAATAATTTTTAAGAATTTATATTAACGATGAGTTGTGAAAATATAGGAGTATGACAATTGAACTTCTATTCTAAACACTCTTGATTGGGTTAATATCTTTTTCAGACATGCGAGAGTTGAAAATGTCAAAGTTGATAATTGGAAGATTAGGTTGCAAACAAACTAGGTCGAGTAAGATTTTGAGAGACTTGTTTGGGTGACTGATGTCTATATCAAAAACTGTTGAGCTTTTAATCAAAATGAAGAAAACGTACACAACACCAAGCCCTGAAGGCAAGGCAAATGAGAAAAATAACATCGTCCTTCAGCGATTTCACATTGATTATTCCCCTCCATTTTTTTGTCAGCGCATACTTTTTCGTGTGAGGATCATGATGATAGTCAACGTGACTATTACATTACAGGTTCCTACAATAAAAACGCGGAAGAAGACTTTTTATACCTTGCAAGACATTTTCATGGAATTTTTTTTTAAATGGATTAAAAATAAAAAAATATTTTTTATTATGAGTTTTTTATATAAAATATTTATATAAATAATTTTCATCTAATTTTTAAATATTTTTTTAATTTTAAATAAAATTCATAATAAAAGATTTATTTTTATCCTTAAATAATTCTTATTAATAACACCGTCTGAATAGCATATCACCATTTATTATCACAAAAATATGATAATTTCGTGAAAATGTGTGTGATGAGAATCTTAAATATTGAACTCCATTTCTAATCCAAGTCAGTGAAAATCCATCCATGTTTCAAACTGTTACCTCATCACATTAGGCCGCTAGCAAGTTCATATGTAATTCCCTAACAATAATATAGATATTAACAAAACAAAAAAAATCATTGAGCTTGTTTTCATGAATAAAAAGTGTCTAATAAAATAATATATACGGCTAATATATCAAATCATTGATTTAGATGAATTTCGTATATTCAAAATTTTAAACTTCACTCTTTAAATTTAAGATTTTATCTAAACTAAAATAATCAATTAGTTATATTGATGGTGATATGTTTAGATATTTAGTTTGTAATTAACGAAATTCAGTGAATCTAAAACCAATTAACTTTTTATTATTATTATTATTATCATACACAAAGTTGAATAATTCAATCATTTATTGTGTAATTTTAATTATTTAATTAATATCATTAAATGGTTATAAAATGTGTTATTTACTCATTTTCCTTGACAAGATTATATAATATTTTCTTTAACTGAAATTTGGCACATTTGTTTAATATTGAAAATGATTGATTCCAACCAAATCACTCCATTCCATCTTGGTTATGAATTGCATAAACGCTTTTGAAAATTCTAAGCTTATTCAAACCAATCAAAATTAATTTATTATAATTTCATTTTATCTTAGATTGGTCATAATCAAACCGTTAATACTAATAAAATAAATAATTTAAATATTGAGTTTTTAGGTATACAATTATATTAAATATCTCTTGAAACGAAATATATTTTTTCTTGCATTGAATAAAAAAAGAAAAAAAAACTTTTTTTGTTGATTCAAATAATTTTATGCTGCATAATGTTAACGGTGTGAAACTGAAGATCCATCACATTTATAATAATAAATGGGTAATATTTGTTAAATGAAAATACCTTAAAGAGCAAAACTTTACTAAGATTTTTGCGTGTACTGTGTATATCCCTTCTCCATCTTGTAATCAAAACCAAGTTTTCAAAGGCATTAATTTGGTATTTGAATATATATGGGAGCCACAACCATGGTATATCCTTATCCAAGTGCTAAATATTGCTTTATGAAGTTTTACCAACCACTTAAACTTTCCTTCTAAACTTTTTGTCAAATCATGTTATCTTTATTAGTAAAGTAGGTGTAGATAGTTCATATATAATTGAATTCTTCAATTCAAACATTTTCACTTTTTATATTTTTTATTTATTGTGTAATGACAATTAATTTAACGTAAAACATAAGATTTATTGAAATAATCATAAAATTCAATTTTCAACCTTCAACAGAAGTAAATAGTTCAATTCTCATCAAATAAATGATGAAAGAAAAAAATGGAAGCAACAAAGTTTTAAGCCAACTGTTTAAGGCAACTTGGTCTTTGACTACACCCATTCAAAATTAGAAATACCACCAAAAATTAACAAAAAAAGAAATATTATTATAAAATTTCCACTCTCCAAAACAATAATAAAAAACTTTGGCAAATATTAAATCATCTCCAAATATCAAAATATGAATTGTTTTATGAAAAAATTATATATATAATTCATAATTCTCACATAATTACTAAATAATTTGCATTTATTTTTTTAAATAAAATATTTCAAGCAATTATCAATAATTTCTGGGACACTCATAGTAAAAGGTAGTCAAACGGAACAACAGCACATGGGTTATCCAAAACACGACACGCGGGGTAATGATTAAAGTCAGCATTTTTCGTTAATTGAAAACAACTTCTACTTTCGCAACTAAAATTATTGACAAAAAAATAGTTTTATCATTTTTAAATTAAACTCATTAATTTTAAAGTAATAATATAAATATTAAATACATTTTTTTTCACAAAATAAACTTTATCCAATAACAAAAAAAAAAACTATGAATAATTGTACTATCGTGTAATTAACGACAATCACTACGTCCTTTAAAAAAAAAGTAATCAATAATTAAAAGGGGTGTGACGAAAAAGGTTTAGCCAAAAAGTCTAGACATGTAGTTGAATTTGACGAACCAATCATTTTGGTGCTATCATATTAGTTCTAAAATAAAATAAAAATATATTTTTTTTGATAAATCGATACTCACATTAATATTTTTTAAAAAAAGATAGAATATTTGAACTAAAATCCTTAAACGCAAGCAGAGTAATTTTAACAAGAATTCCAACACCATCATACAAGTGAGAGAATGCAACAAACCCTATACAATCTTTTAAATCATGTTGCTTAAAGAATGATATTTGTTTTGCATGGTTTATTAATTTAGAGCAAGTCAACCACTCTTAATATTTTGTCTTCATTTTACAATTTTTCTTCCCGAAACGAAAAAGTAAAGCGCGTATGTGTAAGTTGGAGCAGACAAGTTTGAAAATCAAAGCAAACATAGTTTTCCGATTTCTCACTCAGATCCAACTGTCTCTTCTCTTTTCTGTCTGCATGCATAAGATCCTTTGCCTATAAAATATCATGCATGCTCAATTCTTCCAAAAGCAACTTCACAACTCACAGATCCACTCAACAAACAAAAGTCTCATTAGAGCTATAGACATGGCTTCCTTTCACAGCCATTTCTTGGTTATAGTTTCTATTCTTTCTCTTCTAGCCTTTTCTAGCAATGCACAACTTTCTCCCACCTTTTATGCCACAACTTGCCCCAACCTTCAAACCATAGTGCGCACTGCAATGAGGCAAGCTATTGCCAGAGAAGCTAGGCTTGGTGCCTCTATTCTTCGCTTGTTCTTTCATGATTGCTTTGTGAATGTAAACCTTCCTCTACCTTTTGCATTTTGCATCTATGGCTCACCAAATTCTTAGATACTAAATTATGCTAATATCACATTTTATTCCATAGGGTATTAGGACCAACTATGTCTAGATGGAACCTAAATTCACACTTTCTTTTCTTTAACTTTTAAAGTTTCCAGGTTGCATGTGTCAAAAGCTTTTATTACATTAGAAAAGAGTTTCACTTGGGTTATGCCAATGAAGTGTAATATAGTTAGAATATAGTTATATATATATATATATTCCTTAATCATGTTGTTTTGACTTTTGATCATGTATGAGAAAAAACTTCATACAGAGAGATAAAACATACTTTAGTGAACTTTATATAACTATCTAATTATATCTCTAATAAACCAGCACCACCATAGCATGTATAACTTTTGAAGTGAATGCAAGTTTGTAGGCTACTACAAGAAGTATTTTCAGTTCATAAGAAGCCAAAACGGGACCTTAACAATTGCAGAAGGAGTTTTGTTTTAGATTCAAGTTATAATTTTTTTAAGTTGGCTCAAAACTATTCTCTTAATAGTTTAATCGTTTTTTGTTTGCAGGGGTGTGATGGATCAATCCTATTGGACGACACTGCTACATTCACCGGAGAGAAAAATGCAGCACCTAACAGAAATTCAGCGAGGGGCTTCGAAGTTATTGACACCATTAAAACCAACGTTGAAGCTGCTTGCAATGGCACTGTATCTTGTGCTGATATTCTAGCACTTGCCACAAGAGATGGAATAGTGTTGGTGAGTCCAATTATCCATATAATTTATAATATTTCAAATTATTATTTATATATGTGAGCTATGTTAGAATTAATTTTTAATTAATTCATTCCATTATGTGACTCATGTGAAATATTATAAAGGGCCCAAATGTGATTTAATAATTATAAGGACCTATTGGTTATTATGTGAAGTCAGAATAAAATAAAGATAAAATAAAATATTAGCTGAATGTAACCAACTCGATGGACGTTGGTTAATAAAAGGGATTAGGGTTACGTCTCTGGCCATAAGGTCTTTTTCACGGTAAACCATCTAGAAAGCGAAGCGTGAGAAGAGAAAGAAAGGCAAAGAGATAGATTGGGAAAAGGAGATTGGAGAACGAAAAGATCAATAAAGGATTCTCATGGATCAAGGTTAGTTCTCTTACTATATTCATGTATTGATGTATGCAAATGTGAAAATCAATAATCTAAAGATCCTGTAGAGTAGTTTTCTATAACGAATTAAGAACGTAGGAAAACTACAGAAAGTTTACATGTGGTATCGGAGCATGTTTATTAGATTTATGATTTTCCTCTTATGATAGTTTTTCCCAAATTAAGATAAACCCTAATTATGAATTTAGGAATTTTTATCGGATTAACGTGAACCCTAATTATTCCCAAATTTATCTTTTCCCAAAATTGAATAAAAGGATAAGCCCTAATTTATGGATAAGGTTGCATTTAATTTCAAATTGAAATCAATTTGATAATTTATGAGTTTCAATGGTTATGCAATCCTTAATTGAAAATAAAATTTAGGTATTTTACTTGTTTGGCGTCAATGCACACGTAATTTATAATGCAATTAATTTCAGCTGCAATTAATTAATGATGCAAGTTGGGGGAACCCTGGGTAATTGAAATATTTCACGTGTATAATTGAAAGTATCACGTAGTCCGAGTATAGAATTAATGTGTGATTTTAATTATCATATTAATTGCAAACGTGCGTACTTGACTTTAAATGCTTTAAGAAAATCGTTTAAGGAAATCTATATACTTGATTCTCCGGCCTTGATACAACGCCGTTTAAACCCCTTTCTCCTCCAGTCTTGGACACTCTGCGTGTTGAGCGTTTACGCCTCAACCACAAGGCTGCACCACCGTCATCGTTCTCCATAGCGATGATGGGAGACGGAAAAAGTCGATGAGAAATCATCTTAAGCGAGGCGTTAGTAATTTTGCCCAAATAAGGTCCTTTGGAAGCTCTCTTAATGCACCATTGGGGTTCTTTTCTCCTTCCCGAGATAAATTTCTTTTTCCATGCACTTGGATATGGTTTACTGTAGGCATATGTCTACTGTGAATCGGGGTTCGAGTGTTAAAATCCAATTTAAGTATGAATGTGAAATGTGAATGTTCTTGTGGAGGAGAATTCTCTTTTATAATTTTATTTTATTATAAAAGGAATGAATTTTAATTTATAATAATAATGTTATGTTTTGTTATTGATAAATTAAAATTAATGAAAAATGTTATGAATAGTTAATAGCAATTAAAGATGGTATTTATTTGAAATTAAGCATGATAAATTTTGTTAGTCACCAAAGTGGCCAAAATTTTAAGGTTATTTTAATTTCAAATTATTAGTGATTTTATTTCAATTACCCATAGTATGAGCGCTAAAATTATGAATAATTGGTTTATGGGTTAATTGAAGTTCATTATTATAAGACATTTCGGGATCACCCAAAGGTTGATTAATTGTTATTATAATTAATGAGCATGAAGGTAGATAATTTTTGTGCGTCACTAGTTTTATTTAAATACCCAAAGGTATTAAGTGATTCTAGTTGATGCATATTTTAATTATCATTAATGTTATAAAATGGTTAGCGTAATTATGTTTGTGTATTGGTGGATCTCCCAAAGGAGAACATTAGTATGCGAGAGAATGGTAATTTATGGTTGAATCTGTATTTATGTTTAATTTTATGACTCAAAGTATTAATGTTAGGCATGTGGTAATTGCGGTATACTGTTCCTGTAGCTACGCATTCGCTATCTTCGTCTGTTCCAGTCTTTAATGGGTTAAATTTCCCTGATCTGGAGTGAACAAGTCCAATTTCACTTAGGTGTGTTGGATCTTGATTTGGCTTTCCAAGTTGAAAAACCGAGTTGCTATCACCGATGCTAGTAGTAATGAAGAGAAAACTCATTATAGAGCTTGGGAAAGATCAAACCGAGCTTAGCCTTATGTTTATGCGAATGAGTGTAGCAAGCAATATTAAATCTGCTCTTCCCAAAGCGAGGATGCGAAAGAGTTCATGAAATTTGTGGAAGAGCGCTCTCAAACTGTCGACAAATCCCTCATTTGGGACATTGATGAGTACGTTGACCACCATGAAGTTTGATGGTTCTCGTAGTATGCATGAACACGTAATCGAAATGACTAATATCGCGAGCAAGACTAAAGTCTCTTGGAATGGCGAGTGGAAGAAAATTTCCTTGTGCAGTTCATTTTGAACTCGTTACCGCTCGAGTATGGTCCGTTTCGGATGAACTATAACACCATGAAAGATAAATGGAATGTGCATGAATTGCACGAGTATGTTAGTCCGAGGAGGAGACCGGACTCAAGAACCTAGGAAGCCACTCTATTCATTACGTGAAAAATCAAGGAGCTAAAAAGAAAGTTGTTAAGAAACATGGAAAGGGTAAAGGACCATTAAAGATTAACGAGTCATCTACTAACATTCGGAAGAAAAATGACAAATGTCATTTCGCGGGAAGTCTGGACATTTTCGGAAGGATCTGCTTAAAGCGTAAAGCTTGGTTCGAAAAGAAAGGTGAGCATAGTGCTTACGTATGTTTTGAATCAAATTTAATCGAAGTTCCCCATAATACTTGGTGGATTGATTCTGGATGTACAACTCATGTTTCTAATGTGATGCGGGGATTCCTTTCAACCCGAACCATAAACCCAAATGAGAAGTTCGTCTTCATGGGGAATAAAGTCAAGGTTCCGAGTGGAAGGCGTCGGGACTTATCGTTTAATCCTTGACACTTGGATATCACTTAGACCTTATGGATACTTTTTATGTACCTAGTATCACTAGAAATTTAGTTTCTTTGTCTAAGCTCGATGTTCTTTGGATACTCTTTTAAGTTTGGGAATAGTTGTTTCAGTTTATTTAAGCGTACATGTATGATTGGAGCTGGTACACTTTATGATGGTTTATATAAATTGAATTTGGATAATTTATATGCTTGAAACTCTCATGACCTTGCATCATAATGTTGGCACTAAACGTAGTTTGGTGGATGAAAGATCTGCTTATTTGTGGCATAAGCGTTTGGGACATATTTCCAAAGAAAGAATGCAAAGATTAGTAAAGAATGAAATCCTTCGGATTTAGATTTTACTGATCTGAATGTATGTGTGGATTGTATTAAAGGTAAACAAACAAAACACACAAAGAAAGGAGCCACAAGAAGCACTCAACTTCTTGAAATCATACACACCGATATATGTGGTCCATTTAACGTAAATTCTTTTAATAAAGAGAAGTATTTCATCACTTTCATTGACGATTTCTCGCGTTATGGATATGTCTATTTACTATATGAGAAATCTCAAGCGATAAATGCCTTAGAAAGTTATATAAACGAAGTGGAGAGGCAATTAGACGAGAAGGTGAAAATTGTCGAGTCGGATAGAGGTGGTGAGTATTATGGAAGATATGATGAAAGTGGACAACACCCTGGTCCGTTTGCTAAGTTCCTCGAGAAGCGTGGTATTTGTGCTCAATACACAATGCCAGGCACACCGCAACAAAATGGTGTGTCCGAAAGGCGTAATCGAACCTTAATGGATATGGTTAGGAGTATGTTGAGTAATTCATGTTTACTCGTATCGTTGTGGATGTATGCTTTGAAGGCTGCCATGTATTTGTTGAACAGGGTTCCTAGTAAAGCGGTTCAAAAGACTCCTTTTGAGTTATGGACAAGTAGGAAACCCGAGTTTAAGACACCTACATGTTTGGGGTTGTCGGGCGAAGTAAGAATTTATAATCCGCAAGAAAAGAAAGCTGGATGCAAGAACAATCGGTGGATATTTCATTGGTTATCCGAGAAAAATCAAAGGGGTATATGTTTTACTTGTCCTACTCATAGTACAAGAATTGTTGAAGCTGGAAATGCTCGGTTCATTGAGAATGGTGAAACCGAGTGGGAGTGAAGCTTCACGAAATGTGGAGATTAAGGAAATTAGAGTACAAGTTCCAATAACTAGTACATCTTCAAGAGTTGTTGTTCCAAATGTTGTAGAATCACACGACAATCAAGAAGAACAACAAATTAATGATCCTGAGATAAACAATGATCCGATAATAGAACAACCACAGGAAATAGTATTAAGAAGATCTCACGAGAGAAAGAAAGTCTGCTATTTCAAATGATTACGTGGTTTATCTACAAGAGTCGAGAAAATGACCTAAGTATTGATAATGACCCAGTTTCATTTTCGAGATGCCATTAATGATGATAATTCTAATAAATGGTTAGATGCTATGAAAGATGAGCTTAAATCAATGACACTGAGAATGGTGTATGGGATCTTGTGGAATTGCCAGGAAGGATGTAAGAGTGTTGGGTGTAAATGGGTCTTTAAGACTAAGCGTGACTCTCATGGCAATATCGAACGTTACAAGGCCCGACTTGTTGCCAAAGGTTTTACTCGGAAAGATGGCATTGATTATAAGGAAACATTTTCACTTGTTTCTAAGAAAGATTCCTTTAGAATTATCATGGCATTAGTAGCTCATTATGATCTTGAGTTGCATCAAATGGATGTTAAAGCTGCTTTTCGAATGGAGATTTAGAGGAGGATGTTTATATGAATCAACCAGATGGGGTTTATTGAAGAAGGAAAGGAACATATGGTGTGTAAACTTAAGAAATCAATATATGGACTTAAACAAGCTTCTCGACAATGGTATCTTAAGTTCAATGATACTATTTTGTCCTTTGGATTTAAGGAAAACAACTTGTTGATCGGTGTATATATCTGAAGGTCGGTGGGAGTAAGTTTATATTTCGATTACGTATGTTGATGATATCTTGCTTGCGACTAATGATCTTGGTCTATTAAGTGAGACTAAGAAGTTTCTCTCTAACAACTTTGAAATGAAAGATATGGGTGAGGCATACTATGTGATAGGAATAGAAATATTCAGTGATAGATCACAAGGACTCGTTAGGTTTGTCTCGGAAAGCATATATTAATAAAGTTTTAGAGAGATTCGGAATGGAGAAGTGTTCGAGCATCTCCGTTCCAATACGAAAGGAGACAAATTTAGTCTTATGCAATGTCCAAAGAATGACTTGGAACGGAAGCAGGATGGAAAATATCCCTTATGCATGCTGTTGTTGGGAGTTTGATGTATGCTCAAACATGTACGAGGCCGGATATTAGCTTTGCGGTTGGTATGCTTGGTAGATACCGGAGTAATCCTGGACTTGGATCATTGGAAGAGCTGCAAAGAAAGTTTTGAGATACTTACAAGGAACAAAGAATCACATGCTTACTTATAGGAAAGTTGATCACCTTGAGGTGATTGGATATACTGATTCAGATTTTGCTTGTTGTAAGGATACACGAAAGTCAACATTTGGTTATGTGTATCTTTTAGCTGAAGGAGGCGATTTCATGGAAAAGTGTGAAGCGATCTGTCATTCTTGCATCCACCATGGAAGCTGAATTTGTGGCATGCTTTGAGGCCACGAGTTCAAGCTAATTGGTTGCGGAATTTTATTTCGGGACTTGGAGTAGTCGACAACATTGCCAAGCCGTTGAAAATTTATTGTGACAATTACGCAGCAGTCTTCTTTTCTAAGAACGACAGGTATTCCAAAGGTGCTAAGCATATGGAATTGAAATACTTTGCAGTTAAAGAAGAAGTTCGAAGCAGAGAGTGTCGATAGAACATATTAGCACTGATCTTATGATTGCTGATCCTCTAACAAAGGGATTACCGCCCAAGTTGTTCTTTGGCCATATAGTAAATATGGGCATTATGTTTACTAGTAATGAATGTTGAATGTTAATGTTATTATTAATGTTTATATGACACTCGAGATCTTTAATGTATAAGTTTCGAAATTTGTGTTTTCTTCTTTATTTATATGCATGCAAATTATGATGAAGAAAACAAATTATGTTATTATTTTAAAATGATATTATGTTTGAACCCATTATGGACTTCTCATTATAAAGTCATATTAAGGAGAAAGAGATAATATAGTGGTACATGGAAGGGAGCCTGTCGATTGAATGATATGTAACAGCCATGACTCTTGTTATAATTTGTATCTTTAATTATGAATAATGATAGAATCAATTTATGTAAGGTCCTTAAATGCGCTTTATGACTTAAGTATTAAATCACGAGAATCGTATGACATCACATGGGTCAAGTGGGAGAATGTTAGAATTAATTTTTAATTAATTCATTCCATTATGTGACTCATGTGAAATATTATAAAGGGCCCAAATGTGATTTAATAATTATAAGGACCTATTGGTTATTATGTGAAGTCAGAATAAAATAAAGATAAAATAAAATATTAACCGAATGTAACCAACTCGATGGACGTTGGTTAATAAAAGGGATTAGGGTTACATCTGCAGCCATAAGGTCTTTTCACGTGTAAACCATCTAGAAAGCGAAGCGTGAGAAGAGAAAGAAAGGCAAAGAGATAGATTGGGAAAAGGAGATTGGAGAACGAAAAGATCAATAAAGGATTCTCATGGATCAAGGTTAGTTCTCTTACTATATTCATGTATTGATGTATGCAAATGTGAAAATCAATAATCTAAAGATCCTGTAGAGTAGTTTTCTATAACGAATTAAGAACGTAGGAAAACTACAGAAAGTTTACAAGCTAACCAATTAATTGGCTTTAATTGTATAAAGACAGTGTAAATGTTCTGATACCACAAATAAACTTTTAACGTGATGCATGGAGTAAGGAAAAAACCAATTAGAATAATTTATTTAACATGGGTAGTTATCATGATGATAAAATATACAGAAAACATGCAGGTTTTTTCCTTCTCCTATTGAGTCTGCGTGCTGATCTCACTAAAATTCTAAAGCAAAGTCATTTTCTCACTACAAGTCAAGTTGTGGTGAACTTGATGGTGGTTTCTTTCTCTGTCATGGGCCTATTTTCAAACCATGTCTGCCACTTTCGGTTTCACTTTCCTAGCTTGATCTATCATCATCAAATGTAGTGGGGCATCCAATATCACGAAAAACATCACACACTAAACAAAATCATTATATAAAACAAAAATCAAGGTTCATATGTGTCATGTCTACCTTATCTCTGAAGAAAATCCCACATCATAGCAAAATAAAATAGGAGAATATTTATAGAACAAATTAAGAGTTCTATACTCTCATTGAATATTTCCTTTTCTTTCTAATGTGTCCAACTATTGATTTATAAAAGAAGAAACACATTCTCACACTCTCTTTCTAACACATGTTTATATTAATTGATTAAAATTTCAATGAAAACTTAGAATCATAAAAGAAAATATTGGATGAGTAGTGAAGCTCACCAAATCTGTAAATTCCCATGAAATTCAACCAATGATAGAATATGTGTTTGAAAAAAAATGTTATCAGCTTTTCTTTCTATCAAAATAATATTATAATAAAATTCTTAATTTTCTCTAAACACCACAGCTCAATCTCAATTACTGTCACTATCAAAATTTCATGTCATAATTGTACTGCGTCACTATCACAAAGAATTCAAAAATCTTGATTTTAGGTATTTGTTTGTGTTCTATAATTTTTTTTTAAAAGTTGTTAATTTTTAATTGATTTTTGTATGATTTTTTAAAAATTGTCCTTTTTCTATTACATAGGTTTAATTTTTTTTTTTATGTAAACAAAAAAAGTAAACAGATTTTTTTTCAAAAAGATTTTAACTTTTTCAAAACCTTTGCAACCCTTATGAAACCATAATTAGTAGTACAATAAAAATGTCATCTTTCAATCTTTGCAGCTAGGAGGACCCTCATGGACAGTTCCCCTTGGAAGAAGAGATGCAAGAACAGCAAGCCAGAGTGCAGCCAACAGCCAAATCCCTTCACCATTCTCAGACCTCCCCACCCTCAAATCCATGTTTGCAGCCAAAGGCCTGACCGCAAGTGACCTAACCGTGCTCTCAGGAGGCCACACAATAGGCCAAGCCCAGTGCCAATTCTTCAGGACTCGCATATACAACGAAACCAACATTGATCCCAACTTTGCCACCACAAGAAAGGCCAATTGCCCTATCTCTGGAGGGAACTCCAACCTGGCCCCTCTTGACACCCTCACCCCAACCCGTTTTGACAACAATTACTACGCTGACCTTGTCAACCGACGTGGCCTTCTCCACTCTGACCAGGTGCTTTTCAATGGTGGGTCTGAAGATGCCCTTGTAAGGACCTATAGTGGCAATAATGCTGCCTTTTTCAGGGACTTTGCTGCTGCCATGGTGAAGATGGGCAACATTAGTCCTCTCACTGGGACCAGTGGGGAGATCAGAAGGAATTGCAGGGTGGTGAATTGATGATATAATATAGTAACAATAATGGCAATAATGATGATGATGATGATGCATATGTTATTTAATTCATGTTTGTGTTGTTGCCTTTTTGTGGAGCTGATGATCACCATAGCAAGAGGACCCATCAGCATGGTGTTTGAAGTGACGTGTTTTAGAGATCAAGAAAGATTATTTACAATAGATTACAAGGTTGTGGTCATAAACGTGACTACATCTTGAGTGTATCGTGGTGTGTTATCTTGATGTTAGTGTTTTCTGTTTGTGTTTTACGTCTTAATTTTCTAGCTTTTAGGGCTATATCAGTAGTGCATATGTTATTTTAATGAAAATGAAGGAATTAAAAACTTTGTTTCGAAAATTATGACGGAAACTCCTCTCTCTATAAAACATCTCATTAAAATGTGTTTGGTGATTTTTGCTTCAATATTATATATGAACTAGGCTGCAAATTTGGTATCAATGATATGGTCACAAACGGAGTTAGAATAAAAAGTTAGGTTCAGCTTTGAATTCGTACTTTATTGACTTCATATGAATTTAATTTAAATGCTTTTCACTGTGGTTGCCTTTAAAAGATATTCTGATTGCAGCCTCTGAAAAAGAGAAAAGCTTACATTTTGCTCAATTACGTTCACACAATCGAGTCTAGATTATGATTCTCGCATCCAAAGCTTATTCCAAGAAGCCCTAATTCTTAAGAAGCAAAAGTTCTTAGCAGGTTTCTGGAATATTCCCAGCTTTTATAAACTATTTGATTGCCAAATACTACATGTTGGGGCTTAAACGTGAAGTTATATTTAATTCAATCCCTCTTCTCTTCTTTTACGCAAAGGGATAGTTTGATAAAAAGAATATTTATAGTTTCTCTTAAAAAGAAATGTGGTAAGTGAATAATAAAGAGTGGTTGAAGTAAAAAAGAATACTTTGAATTTAAGTTTGATTTTCGAATGACTCAATAATTAAAATAAAAAAATCAAGTAAAAACATTTTCAACAAATTGCACATGTCTTGAGGTGTAGGTCTTATTTGAGGAAAGATACCTGAGAAAGACTCATGGAATGGACTTAGGTTGAAGCTTGTTTGTGTTATAGGGGGCAAGCTAAGGATAAAATAACACCCAAATTACGCGCAACTTTGAATAGTTTGGTGAACGATGAAAGAGAGTTTCAAAGGAAACTTCATTTAGAGAACATATGAGTTGGCATTTGGAATAATTAAAAAAAAAAAAAATAGTTATAATGCATGGTGGAGGTTGAAACTAGAAATTTCGACTAGATCCATGATACTTAGTTTGAGTATTGAATTAGCATATTAACTAAAACGACTATGAAGTTAGTTGCTGAAGTGTGTTAAATGTCATTTAATGTATGATATGTTTCTATAAAAGAAAACATTTTGGCTGAAATGAGAAAGATTCGAACTTCAAGTATATAAGAGATATTAAGATTTGGCCCACCTGAATTCCATAAGATAATTGATACAACTTACGAGATTTTGATGATCATTATTGTGATATTACGATAGAGTGAACTCAAATCTATTGCGTTTTGTAATAATTTGTTCTGACAAATAAGAGAAAGAAGAAGAAGGAAGTCTCACTGGTCCACAACCTTTTTGAAATTTTTTGATGACCTTGTCTCTGTTAAGGATGATCAATATGATGGAAACGAAATAATTTCTATAAATTGTTGTACTCACTTTTTTATACCTACAAAATTTTTAATGATATTTTCACCCACCAATTTATTTGGTTGAAGAACAATTACATAAATTTATAATCAACCATTCCAAAATATGTTGCATAATCAAAATCTTCATAAAAATTTGTTGTCAACAAATCTGATGTCACTGAAGTGGTTTTCTAATATGTGTATTTTAGATTATTATTATCAAAAAAGAAGCTTGATAATCTCATTACAAGTACAAAAAAGAATCTGAAAAGATGTTTGTCAATAAAAAAATCTAAAAGGTTCAAATTAAAATAATATATATCAAATTAAAATAATAATAATAATAATAATAATAATAAAATAAAGAAGTTATTAAAAACGATAAAAAAGATTAAAAAAAACGGAAAGATTATGTGGGAAAATAAGAAATTGTTACGCATAGGTTAAGAATTTAACACATGAAGGATTAAAATTAACTCTCTTTCGGCGCCATATAATTCGTTAAGAGAAGCAGTAGAGAGTACATACATACTTGCATGCAAGAACGTAACATCGGTTCCCCTGTACATTACCGCACCAAACCACAACTTCCCGTCATCACAGTCACTGCACGCATAAGATGACGGCTCTGATTCATGCGTGTCTCCACTCTCAGGAAACTCGCGTGAGCTTCCTTTCTTTCTCTCTCCTTAAACAAAATAGACAGACCAAGAGAGAGAGAAAAGAAAAACGAAAAAAGGGTGTAGAGAGAGAAAGAGAGGAGAGAGAAACGAACAAGACTCTTTCTCACATCACATGGCCTCCATACCCCTGGGGCACCACCACCAACCGCCGGCGTCGGCGGTATCGTTGAATCCATCACATCGGCAGCAGTCTCAGTCGCAACCCGAAGTTCCTCGCCGGAGCTCCGATATGGAGACCGATAAGGTACTTCCACTCATTGCACTCATTGTGAATCGTTCTCTCTCGCTCTTTTAAGTTTTCGACTGGTTCCGGACTTACCGGAGCTCCGATCGACATCGATTCGCCTCAGAAGCTTCGGCGTCGTTGGATTTTTTAGCGATCTAACGGTTTTACGCGCTCGCCGGATAAATCTCCGGCGACGCCATTGATCGGGGTGGTTTTATTGTTCTCTCGGAGAGTGATGTTTATTCTCATTTACGAATTCGAAAAATAGGAAATGAGATTAGGTTTTGCTTTATCGGAGTGTGTTTTGGTTTATGCTTTTATGATAGGGATCTTGACGCTGAAGAAAATTGAAGGTAGGAAGATTTTTTTTTGTTTTCGGTGTTTGGAGAAAAGCAAAGGAATCAAAGGAAGTGAAAATGTGGAATCCTGTTCTTCAGTTTTTTGTTTCCTTTAATTCAAGGAAAGAGATTCTGATTAGGTGTACTTAGCTGACCTGAGCAAACATTCTTATTACACATTCGGAGATTTCCCACTGATAACAATTATCATTTAGTCTATTTCGTTTTTAGGCCATTTTTCTTTCGCTTATCTCTAATCTACTGTTAATTGTCTTTAGTATGTTAATTCTGTATTATTGTCTAGTCAATTATTGGGGTATAGTTTTTGTTCAGATCTTTTTTTGTGTGTGGGAGTGACGTCTTTCCTTCACTTGTGGTGGATTATTGTTCAAAAGTTCAAACGGTTAGTTTGCTTTGCTTCAGGGAATTAGTGTCTTAGATTCTTTTTGTATGGTGTCTTAATAAGTTATATTAAAGCATTTCTTTATGCTTTCTTGTGAGCTGCTGTAACCTGATTTAACTTTAGCTGATATTGTGCTCTCTGAGCTCTTTACACTTTGCCTTTCTTCAACTTCTTATTCTGATCTCGGGCTGATTTCATCTGGTAACCGTCTGGTGCTTTATGTTCCATTGCTGTGCAATTTTCTTCTCGTATAACACTAATGGACTATCTTGAGATCCTATACTAGTCTTTCTTTTTTTTTATGTTTGCTCCTTCTAAATCAACTTCACTGCATATATGCATTAGTGTGTCTGCCATGGCATGCATATGATATTTGATAAGCACATGATGTTGCAATATTTTGTGAATGTCCGGAAACCAAATTGTTGATGATAGTTTTAAACAAATTATGATTGATATTGTATCAATAAAAATATGACACTCAAGTACTGTATTAGGAAATTTGCTTTACTGCATTAAATGTCTATTTGTTATTATAAGTTGCAGGATATGTCAGCTACTGTCATTGAAGGGAATGAGGCCGTCACAGGCCACATAATCTCCACCACCATTGGAGGCAAAAATGGGGAACCTAAACAAGTATGAATGTGTTCTAGCCCCTTCCTTGTCAATTTACAATTTTTTGTAAAAATTTCACTTCATACCATCTTAAATTGATATGTTATTGTTTATAGTGATTATAATTTAGATAATTATTCATTTTTTTGGGGGATAGAATGAAATGAAAATTAGAGGTCGGGAATTAATATTAATAAATTGCCCTTTATATGTAAGGTTTTTCAAAAATAAAATATTGGTTGTCAATCAGAGGTTGGTTTATTTCGCCAGTGCCTACCTCATGATAATTTTGTTTTCATATGTTAGATCTTACAAGATGTATAATTTCGAAATATTTAACTATGATGGTTCAATAACTGTATGCTTAAAATTGGTGATATTATCCAAGTTTCATAATACGTTTATTCTTCATAACTTATTTGTTATGATTCCTTCTCTGATACCACTTGCAGACCATCAGTTACATGGCAGAACGTGTTGTTGGCACTGGATCATTTGGAGTTGTTTTCCAGGTATGGATGATAATCACCGAGTTGACAACTATTCCTATTAAGCTTGCTCTGCTGTCAAATATCTCAATGTGTTCCACCACTGAGCGGCATTCCTCTTTACCCTAAAACATAGGCAAAGTGCTTGGAGACTGGAGAGGCAGTGGCTATTAAAAAGGTCTTGCAAGACAGGCGGTACAAAAATCGTGAATTGCAGTTAATGCGCCTAATGGATCACCCAAATGTAATTTCCCTGAAGCACTGTTTCTTCTCCACAACAAGCAGAGATGAACTTTTTCTAAACTTAGTAATGGAATATGTCCCTGAGACAATGTACCGAGTTATAAAGCACTACAATACTATGAACCAGAGAATGCCTCTCATATATGCAAAACTGTACACTTATCAAGTATGAAGTCTTCTTTTCTGGTTTTGCAATTTAGTGCAGGTGATGATTTAATACTTTGTAACAATTGGGTTTAAATTTGATTTTAGATCTTTAGGGGATTAGCATATATCCATACTACACTGGGAGTTTGCCATAGGGATGTGAAGCCTCAAAATCTTTTGGTACCTTCTTCTTTCAATGTTTTTCCTCTATATGAGTTGTATTCATTTATTCTAAATTTTTTGCTTATATGACTACAGGTTCACCCTCTTACTCACCAAGTTAAGCTTTGTGATTTTGGGAGTGCCAAAGTTCTGGTATGTTGATCTGTTGCTCTGGTCCAAACTATTGCTTTTTGCACATATGCCACCATGATAATAGAGGACTACTAAAATCACATACTTCCAAGTGGACATAGCTATGTTAAAGATATTATAAGATATTTCCACAAATGCAATATTGATTTAACTGGTTTATGTGATGATTTTTTTTAGCAAATAGCAATTAAAATGATAATGATGCCAAGAATCTTGACTGTGACCCATTTTTTTCCTATTATATGAAAAATAAATGGAATGATTGACATAGCATGTGATTTTTTTATTCAATTATCACTTTCATGAAGTTTATCATGTTCACAAATTGCTATGATATTATTATGATATTATTCTTCGACAAAATATTTATATCAGGTCAAGGGTGAATCAAACATTTCATACATATGTTCACGTTACTATCGAGCTCCAGAACTAATATTTGGTGCAACAGAATACACAGCTTCCATTGATATCTGGTCAGCTGGTTGTGTTCTTGCTGAACTTCTTCGAGGACAGGTTAAACATTCTGGCAATCTATGCATTAATGTTGCTCATAAAGATACTTTTTTGCCTTTTTTCTGAGATATGTTATATTGACTTCCCATAGTTTCAAATGTTTGTATAGCCATTATTTCCTGGAGAAAACCAGGTTGACCAACTTGTGGAAATTATTAAGGTGATTTCTCTTCAATATTGGTCTCTGGATTGCAATGTATATATACAGAGGTCATTATTTAGGTATTTTCTTGTAGGTTCTTGGTACTCCAACACGAGAGGAAATCCGTTGCATGAACCCAGAATATACAGATTTTAGATTTCCTCAGATCAAAGCTCATCCTTGGCACAAGGTAAAGTCATTTCTCATCCATCCTCATTTGATATTTAACAATTCCATTCGACTTTAAATGTAGATTAAAAGAATGAAAAAACAATTGTCAAAGTCAAATTGAATAGCGTGCTTTACATGTTTTCTAACTGATGAGCTTGATGATGTAACCTAGTGAGATAAAGCTTAGTTATTAATATTAGTCATTTTCTAGTTATTGACACATTTATTTTGATGATTTATGTTCAGGTTTTCCATAAGCGAATGCCTCCAGAAGCAATTGACCTTGCATCAAGACTTCTCCAATATTCACCTAGCCTTAGATGCACTGCGGTGAGTACGATAACCATGATACTTCCCTCCCTTCACTTCTCCCATGATATTAGATCTATGACCCTTGTGTCATGTTGTGGATTTTTAGTAAACTCAATTTGCATAATTTTCACTAATGGCTTTTGTTATTTCAGCTGGAAGCATGTGCACATCCTTTCTTTGATGAGCTTCGCGAGCCAAATGCTCGTCTACCTAATGGTCGTCCATTGCCCCCACTTTTCAACTTTAAACAGGAAGTACGTTTATAGTGTATAATTTTTTATTAAATGTGACGTGTATAGGCTGTTGCTTGTTCTTAATATGACTACTTCCTAAGCCATTGTTCTGCATGATCCAAACACGAGAATCCACTTAACAATTTCTCTTATATAATTTCTAAACAGTATCTAAATCCCAAAAAATCTTTTAATCTGGATGAAAACTTTGACTACAGTTAGCTGCAGTATCACCTGAACTGATCCATAGGCTCATTCCGGAGCATATTAGGCAGCAGACTGGTCTCAGCTTCCCTCATTCTGTCGGTACATAGATGTAAAGGGATAATGAAACGATGAGTAACAATCAATGTGAATCAACAGATGGGCTGATTATGGCCTATGTATAACTGGGGGTTCCAGCCTAATCTGCAGTTTTCCCCCCTTGTGAAGATGTATACAAGTGCTGGCTGCTCGGCATAGCATGAAAGTTGGTGATTCTCTCTAGTATTTCATTTAGTTAAAGCATACTTATCCCTGCGTCTGTATATTGTTTTGGTCAGATTTCAGAAAGCTAGGAGTATAAAATGATAGCAATCATGTCTTCATAGGTAGTGGGGCTCACCTGAATTGAGGGGCTCCTGTTGTAGTTTGGCTTGGTTTTATGTGATTGTATTCATGATGTCGTTTATAATATGCTTATGACAATCTCTTAATGCAAACAAAAACTTTCGTCTCTGTTTAATACTCTGGTATGGTATTCCGCATCCTTTTTGCACAGAAGGTTTTGTTTGTTACGTGTGACCCTATTTGAGTGTGCCTTAGGCTGTTCTCTGAACCGAGTAACCACGTTGTCGACAAGCGGAATGGATTCAATCCAAAAGTTGAGCATGGAAGAAAAAATATGAATTCAAATTCTGTTATGAATAGTGGTATGCACTGAGGGTGGGTGCTTCCTGGTATTAGCAATATCTACTTTGCTGTATATTCACTTATATTTCAATTATTTCAATAATATCTTGTTGGTACATTACGTTGAAAGGAGGATTGGATGGACCTTTTCTTTTGAAAAATGGTGAATTGGTTGGTCAGGTGTCTGGTATGCTTGATACAACAAAACTGACTAATTTCACAATCACCGAGAATTGGTTGAACTGGTTCAACTTAGTATTAAAAATATTTATTTTAAGTAGATGTTTCCTTCCAAGAGATGAATCCTATATAATTTATTTTAATTGCAATTATTTATATTTTATTTTTAGTAGGTGAATTATTTTAGAATATTAATTTTCAGTTCACTATATTTATTTTTACTATTTTATTATTATTTTTTATTTCTTGTAAGTGAATTATTATATACGGGAAAATATAAATCTTTACGGTTGGTCAGAGACTTATTTTGATACATCCATTCTAAATGAAAGGTCAATTATATCTGCTTTTATATTAAAATATTTTTTAAAATAAAATTATTATAAAATAAATTTAAAATCCAAAGCAGACGATTGTAATTGACTTAAAAGACATTATTGTAACTAATTTGAGAAAGCAACAATAAGGTATGTTTTATTATACTTTAATTATTAAGTAAATCAACCTGTTGAAAACATATATTTATTCTAGGTGTCTTATTGTATCTTAAACCTGGTTCAAATTTTTTCAAACTTATGCAAGCTTAATGGTTGAATACTAAATAATAATAATAATAATTGAAACTAGATAACATAATTAAAACAATTGATTAATAAATAAAAATTATAGAAGTTTAAAATTAATTTAAAAACTAAATTTATAAATATTTTAAATTGTATTTATTTAATAAAAATAAATATAATTTGATATAAAACATTAAACGTATTTATTATTCCTAGTGAAACAATTATACTTGAATAAATTAACTCAATAATTTTTAATTACTAACTAGTGTTTAGTTTTTAATTAGTTTCTCAGCTTATAACCCATTTTTCAACTTTCAGCTAATTTTCCCATAATTTCTTAATTTAACCTGAAGTAGATTTAAGGTGATAAAAAAATTAAAAAAATTTGATTAAATTTAATGAAGTTAATTTCATTTTAAACTTTATTGATACAGTCAAATTACTAGTTCATGCATGCACTATAACATAACTACTACACTAATATTTAAATCCTTTGATTTATTTATCATCTCTTTATAACTATATTTATAAATATTTAAGAATTATGCATAATTTAACACTATTATATATATAATATTATCATATAATTCATAATATTCTATAATTAATATTTTATTAAGATATAATAAAAAAATCAATATTGCAGGTTAAGATTCCATCGTTGAGTTAAGCTTATATCTATTTTCTAATAATTATTAAAAATATACATAAAATGTAATCCAATATTCTGTTACCAATTACTTTATTATCTAATTACATTTTTAATACATGTTAGTATAAATAAATAAAAAAGTGTATATTTCATCTTTTAAAATTACTTTAGATTTTTGTTTTTTAAAGTTACGTAGATGTGAATTTTGGAAAAATATTCAATCTGAATAAATTTTATATTCTATCACAACAATCACAATAATTTATTTCAGTGCAGATTGAACATACTAATTGTGATCAAGATTTTTGATGCAAATAGATTTTGGTCAAAATACTAAAAAGCTGGTCTAAATTGAGCAAACAATCTAATATGATTTTGTAACTTGATCCATATCGTCAGCAACATACCCTGATCTGGTAACCTCATGGATAGCGTCAGCAACATATCCCACATTTCCCGTATTAATACCAGCCATGCTGCAATGAACACAAATATAAAATATAAGAAAACAATAAAAAAATGAACTTCCACTTTCCTCTCACAAATTACAAATTACATGTTATTACCTGATTCGACCATTACGGGTCATATAAATATGGAATTCGTTTGTCATTCGATCCACCTGTTCTGGTGTTAATCCACTATAGCAGAACATACCAATCTACAACACAATAAATATGAATTATACTTTACATTTACGATGTTAAAATTTCATTTTAAATCCTTCGATAAAAATAATTGAACCCACCTGGTCGGTTATGTGGTGCCAGGTCAAAGGAGAGTTCCTCTTTTCCAAATTCTCACGTAGACTGTTTCTCATTCCGATGATGCGATCTGCCATAACCTGTAGACGCATATCATGCATGTAAGTTCAATTTTAATCTATTAACGAATATTTTAATGTAAAATATGTTTTAATAATGTAATTTTTTTAAATCTTTCTGAATTTTAAATAAAAATAAAATCTACATACAGTTAAAATAAACTTAAAAAAAAAAAGATAAAATAACAAGGTAGCTCTTAATCTACAAATGAAAACTTGTAAATTTTACCTTCACTTCGTTAAGCCACAACTTCTTCAACTCTGGATCACCGAGGACAGTTGAAACTATAAGTGCTCCATGGAGAGGTGGGTTACTGTACATGGGTCTAGCAATCAGCTGTAACTGACTTTTTACCGCCACTGCTTGTTTCTCATCTTCACAGAGCACACTGTAGTAACTTCAACTTATGAGCACATTTCTTTGCATAATTAATTCAATTTTATAGTCAAACATAAGAAGCTATCTTTACAAAATGTTCAATATTCATATTCAAACCATTAAATATTTCCAGTATTTCTAATCTAATCAACTAAATGACTACAAATATTCTAAAATGCTAATATTATAATAGAATTAATATTCTAATCCCGGGAATTCCATTGCAAATGGAAGCCTGTTGAAGCTATAGATAATTATAAAAATCACTTTTAGAATGTTGGATTTCCCAGTTCATGCACTATTAGGTATAGTCAATTTTATTTTTAAACTTATATTGAATAACAAAATTTCGTATAATTTTAACATGATATTTTAGCTGGCACGCAAATTATCAACATCCAATGTATTAGGAGAATAATCATGGTCTAATATATGTCACTCCCCAACCACACGAAATACCACTGAAACCTATTTATAGCATTCGGCACCTGAGTTGTAGTCTAAAATAAAAATAGTCTACTAACCTCAGGCATCCAACTCGCTGGCCATACAGTCCCATATTTTTTGCATATGACTGAGCAAGTCCTATTAAATGACCATCCTCGAGAAAAATCCTAATGGCTTTTGCATCTCTCTCTGGATCACCACTAGCAAAACCTTGATATGCCATGTCAAAGAAAGGGAAATGGCCCTTAGCCTGAAAATAATCACAACAATGAACAAAAGAGATAGAGTCAAGAACTGAAACATGAACAACAAAATCCAATGATTTTTATGTATCACTATTCCGTAAATTGTTACCTTAATCTGGAAAGAAATCTCTCTCCATTGTTCTTCTGAAGGATCTACTCCAGTAGGATTGTGCGCACAAGCATGAAGCAAAAAGAAGGAACCATCTGGAGCATTCTGTATAAGTGATAAATAATTAATTTAAAAAGCAAGCATAATATGGAGTACTAGCAAAGCTTCATCTGTAAAAATTGACCAAAAAATAAAGTCTTAAAAATGTTTGGAATGAGAGCAATATACCTTCATGTCATCCATCAGTCCTGCAAAATCCAATCCTTTAGACTCAGGATGATAGTAACGGAATGTCTTCATAGGCACTCCAGCATCTCTCCAAATGTTATGGTGACTGTAATTTTCTCATATTAGAAATAAATATCCAGGCAAGATATGGGATTTAAAAAAAAAAAAAAAAAAAAAAAAAAACTAAAAGGTCAAAAAGTCAATTGGAATTTTAAAATTTGAAGTAAGATTTATCCTAAGTACTTACTTGGCCCAGGTAGGCACTGGTATATAGATTTGGGAATTAGGATGAAATCTCTGTTGAAATGCAGCAAAAAGTCGACATGCACCAGTCCCAGATAAAGCCTGCACTGCAGCTATTCTTTTATCCTTGATGAACTCAGAGTTGTCTCCGTAAGCCAGCTTGAGCGATTCTTCAACCATTTTTATGCTTCCACCAATAGGAAGATACTCCCTGTCAAACATTTGTATCAGTGCAAAGTAATGGCATAAACACTACTATTAGTATAAATAAATGATACCCGAAACTGGAATAAACAGATAGGACCCTAGTTTTCATTTTAATAAATGATATATACCTTTGTTTTATTGCTAAGTAGTGTTGCAAAAATATTGAAAATAAAAACTGGTTTGGAGAATATTACTACTTGCTTAGCTGGGTATTCCTTGGAAGTTTATCCTGGAATGCAGGTTCGAATCTGATAGAACATGTGGTTCTATGAACCCTGAGAATTCAAGTTTTATTTATTTACCGCATCCTAAAAACTAATTTAGAAACTAAGGGGAATAACATTCAATTGAGTAAATAAATTACAGTGTCAGCCCTAAGATTTTTGGATTGCACATGATACCTTTGCATTTTTTAACATTTGCAATAATCACCCTTGTAGTGATATAAATATTGTAATATTTTTCAAACAATTAAAGGGAGTTAGTGTAACGTACAAGTGTCAATATAAGCAAGCTGTAAAAACAATTAAGAAGTTTTCGGCATATTTTAAAAAAATGAGAAGTATCAGACAAAAATGCACAAAAAATACAGGAAAGACAAGGGTAATTTGCTTAAACCAATTCAACTAAATTTTCATGGCACTTTATTTTTTCCCTCCTCCTTAACAAACTGAAAAATTTAACACCCTCAACTCACACTTGAATAATATCTTCAATAGCACATACGAATTACTTTCAGAAATACTTTGACAGCTTCAGGAATATTTTGACAACAGATAAGGTATCCATTCGAATAGAAAGATATAATGGGAATTCTGAAGTTTTCAGCTTTCACACCAGAAAAGCAGCAGCAGATAAGATAGTACTCCCTACATTATCATTCCAAACCACTTAAACAGTGCAAGGAATCGTAATCCCTATAAAAATAAAAAAAGGGTAAAAAGAAAGTAGCTCTCAAAGCAGCATCAAGAAATAATATCATATTCCAGCCGTCCAAACACAACCAAAAGAAAAAAAACAGCTAGTGGGTAAACTTTAGGTGACATCCACAAATTTCCATGTGGAAGCAATTAAAATTTGCATTCATACAAGGAGGGTAGACACTCGGTAAGAAATGATAACAAGATTTTCTCATTAAAAGCTACAGTAAAAACATATTAAGAATCTAACATGAGATATATAAATAACACATTCTTTAAACCAATACCTCTGTACAAAAATACTGTATCTAAAAATACTTATTAACATTCTCTTAAAATAAAAAATAAAATAAGTACCTCATGCCCACTATTTTAAATGATAAAAGAGATTAACTTTCATAATCATTTAGTGTGAAGATTTTTATGCTGTGAACTAGGTAAAAATCATTGCACAGCTAAATTCTAAAATAATTATAAAAAATTAATAATAATTTTATCATGTGTAACAATCAATGAGTTTGATAATAGTGTACATTTCATTCTAATGAAATAGACTATAAGAAAAGATAATTGATGAAAAATAATATATATAATACAAAAGTAAAGAATATTTCTTCTTCTTATTTTAATCTTCTGGTTTTAGAATCCTTGCTGCAGTCCAAAAGAAAAACAACAACTATAGCATGTATTCTTTCACTCACATGAACTGTCCTCCTGCAATCCTCCTCTCTGCTTCTCTAACACATTCCAATACCACAGGCTTTCCGTTGTCGTCGCGGTAAGCACCCTTTTGTAGAGAAGAAAAAAAAAATTACACTCAATGTAAGCCAATCAATATCACAAACACTTTAACCAAACATGCACATGCACTAAATATATTTCAAAAAAATTATATTACTTTCCATTGCCTACAAATTAAGCCAATCCAAGCTCCCAACACAATAAATAAATAATATACAATAAAAAAGAAGGAATAATTAACTTCTACTTCTTGTGACGAATATAACAGTTCTATGCTGTTTAGTGACCAGATCGGATTTGATCACATCAATTTTATCATCAATAGACTTGTTTATGCTTCAATTTCTTCAAAACAGAAAAAACTGAGACAAATAATCACAAACTGAGATAGAAACTCACCACTCCAACATTGACTTTGTTTGGACTCTGATCCGCGAGGAAAGCTTCAGTAACTCCGAGGATTGGATCCTTGGGAGCGGGCTCGATGCTCCGAAACCACGAAGATGACATGAACCTAGCTCCAGCGAAGGAGCTGCGGCGGAGAAATTGTCCGTTGAGCGAGTTCCGAATCGCCATGACTCAGTGACGGGGAAACAGGGGAAGCAGAACGCAAATGCAGAGGGTTGGCTGAAGAAACGGTAGGCTTCGGAATATATACACATAAATGCTAGTGGGTCCCACTACTTGTGGATCTCAATTTTTAGTATTCTTTTTTGTCATTTTATAATTTAGTTCTTGTGCTTATTATAATTATAATATGACCCAATGTTTACACTGTGATTTCTTTTTCTTTTCTTTTTTTGTTTGTTGAATTAACTTATTTGAAAGTTAGTAAATGATTAAGTAATTACACTGCAACTTTATAATATAAGAGTACATTTAGTCAACGTAGTACACTACACTCCATTATTATAGTTATATCGTTTTCGTTGTTTGACTATAATTAAAAAATTATGCTAAACTATAACTTTGCTTTTTAAAAGTGAAATCTAGTCCTAATTTTATTTAAAAAATGAAAGTTTTTATTAGTTCTTGATTGTGTAAATTAACAAGTTTTATATAATATTTTATAAATAATATAACATTTAAATATTCATTTATTATTAAATTATATTTTTTATAAATAAATTAATATTAAATAAAAATGTTGTAATTAATATGATTAATTTACATATACAATAACTAATATGTAAACTTTCTCTACGAATCTAATAAGATGGTTATAAAATTTACACAGTCAAAGTCAAATGATATTATTTTAAAATAATTATTATAAAGTTATAATATTTACAATTAAATAACAAAGCGAAATATTTTGTACTATACCAACATTTTCCTTTTTAGCTTAGTATTCTGTGAATATATTTGGAAGTAATTCTTTTAAGACACTTTCTTATAAATAAAATAAAAAGAAAAAATATATAATCACCTTTTCTATAATTAAACTTAATTTATTTTTAAAAATAAATTAGTTGATTTTTCTTTTTTTATTAGGACCAAATCTATTAAACTAAAATATATCAAACTAAAATTTACTAAATAAAATGAAATTTCTATTTTTAGTTGATTACTTGTGTATTATCTCTGAAAATGCAACAGTTTACCCAAATCCATGGATTAAGCCTAGATTTAATGGATCACATCTACAAAATGTCTATAATTATACAATTTTTAAAAAATAGGGTTTGTTACAGTGAGTGAGTTTTACGAATTTAATGTAGCCACCATGGATTTTTTCCTTCCCATTTGCTTCTCCAGTCCAAGACTCAGCTAGAACTAAGAACACAAGTTTATGCAAAGAACAAGTTTTTTTTGTCCTGTTTGAAACTGGTTTGTTTACATTTTTTTTTTTTGTCTGATGAGTTTTTATTTATGCTTGGATATTGTGCACCTTCAAAGTGACTATTCAGAATGGTCTTCTTCAGCTTCCTGACTCATCAATCTTATCAGTCCAAAGCTTCTTTTTCAATGGCACGTATCATCTTGAATGACACTTTGTTCAAAGGCTTGAAATTTAAAGATTTGGTATTTTCAACCATCAAGAACTAAAGATTTCAATTTGGTGAATTTGTTTAATATTGTGATTTTGTGTTAATAATGTATAAATGATTCTATCTATAATGATGATTTAGATAAATAAATTTGAAAATGTCAAGTGGGGAAGAATGTTTTAAAAGATTAATAATTAAAAAAAAAACTTTTTTCTATTCTAATATTAATTTCACTTAAACTCACTCTAATTTTTAACTGATTTCACATTAAAAAAATTTAATTATATTTAAAAGACTCTTAGAAGAAGATAAAGCTTCCAAAAATGGATTTCACACCACCTAATTTTTTTTATTGACAAGTAATTTTTTTCATTTTCATAGTTTAATTTTTTTTCAATTTTATTACTTTACGTTTTATACTTTTATAATTTAATGTTTATTGATAGACTTTATTTAATAAATAATAAATTCTAGATGAGTATCATCACTTGCTTTTACCATCTCTTTCATTATACTGAAGAAGTCTTCTCTTTTAATAAGATTAAAAGAGATTGGATTTTATTTTAAAATTATTTTAGAACAAATGAAATATATTAACAATAAAAATATAAACAAATATATAGCAGACACCTTTTTTTTTTTTTATTTGAGGAATTAAACACATATCAATATATGAAAAAGATATATTGCAATATATAACTCTAAGGAATAAAAACAGTAGTCAAACTGAGAAGACTCACAAAAATTGAACAAAACATGAAAAAAAATAGAAATTGAAAATTTAAAATGATAAAAAAATAAAATCTAAAATATTAAAGAAATTTGACAACATTTAAATATAATGAATAGGACAACTTGCCAACTGGAAACCTAGTGTGATCACCTTACTGTGTGACTAGTAACTGACAACCTATTGTGTCTGTTTTGTTTCCTCACAATATACAACAATGCTTAAAAAAAATTGAATTAAAAAAATAGTTATATGCATTTTAATTTTAATGGATAAAAGACAGAAAAAAAAAGAAAGATAATATATATGCTTATAAATTCATCCAAACCCTTCTTCTTCGTTCTAATGAAATTGTACTTTCAATGAACATTCTATGCAAAGTAAGTAAGTGTAAGTTTGTGGTGAAAAAAAAATGAAATTTGATATAAAAATTTCAGTAACAATAATTGAGTGAGACACAGCAAAATGCATCTTAGAATCAACATAAACAAGTGAATTTTGTTATGTTTCTTCCATCAGCAGACCATAACTCTGCTGATTCAGATTTGGAACAACAGATAAACAACATTTATGGATTTTACACCCTTTCTGTTTTTTATTATTATCAAAATGTATATGTCTTGTTGTTTACTTCCTTCCAAGGGCACTAAAGGGTGTGGAACCTTTATTGTTAACCTAAATGGGCTCCATGAAACATGAAGAACATGTCATTTATTGAATAAATTAAAGTGTGTGGAGGCAGATATAAATGGACCATTTTGAAAGTCTGAATTAGAAGGCACAGGACTTAGAAAACGTGATGATCTTATCGAACCTACCAACATTGGACAGACACACATGACTGGAAGCAATTTTAGGTCGGAAACTGACTACCATACATCATCCTTTTTTAGTTAGGATTTTTCACAGTTTGGTATCATCTATATCCATATATTAAAGAAATATATTATTTTAGAATACATATTTTTTATATTTATATTTTATAAATTGTTCGTTTTTATTAATAATAGAGGACAGTGCTGAAAATATTTATGGACCACAATTGTATCTTCTCTCGAGTTCATAGAATTATAATTGGTATGGTAAAAATGATTAGACAGGAACTTATTATGATTGCAAAGATTGAAGAGAAGTTAAAGGAAATAAGACATGTATAATTAGTTAAAAAATTGTTTAAAGATAAGTGGTTAAAATATAAACTATTTTGCAATTATAATATAATACAACTTTTTACTTCTATTTTTAAGGATTAACTTATTATCCTTTACCCTTGACTTTTGTTACGATGAATTGCTCAATTCTGACTACTATTAGTATTATCTTTTTATTAGGTAGAACGAGACAAATAAATAAAAATGTACAATTAAAAGTATGAATGAATATTATTTTCAAAGTATATAAAAGATGAGAGATAGAGAACTAAATGTGGGTTGATTTAATAAATAAAGTTCCCTGTTCTTCCAATCAAATTGAGTGAAACTTTACAAATCAAACTAAGATATGAATAAACAATTTTACACACTAAAACATACTAACAAATAAAATATGTTTGGTTAAACAAGGCATGCTCTTAATTTTCAATGAAACATTATTTTTTATCTTCTCATTTAAAATTAATTTCATTAATATCTGTATTTGTTGTAGATAAAAAAATTATTAAGTTATATTAATAAGTGATATATTTATTAATAAGTTCAAGTCATAATTCTGTAAATAACATTAATTTGTCCAACTCAAAATGAGTTGTGTTGAAATAATCTAAATAGAAAAAATAGAATAAAAAGAACTCAGTCACAGTCAACATCAAAATATTGCAAGTTGAGGCAACAACACAATAGCTATATACTAATTATTATATTGCAGGCTTATATTTTAGGTACATCTCTTACGAAATTATTTGTTTTCAGAAATCAAAATCTAATCTTAACATATCCTATCAATAACGTAAGTTTTTGGAAAGGTTACCGGTGCACAGCAAGAATTCCACTCTTTTCTTCCTTGTTATAAAGGACATAAAAACCAAATTAACTACACCACAACTAAAAAAAGTTATCAATAAAAGGAACAGAAAAACAATGACGGGATTCTCCCAAAAATATATGTAATATATAATAGAAGAAAGAAAAACAAACGAAGTGAAGAAAAAATTATGAGAACATACTCTGCAAACGCCCCAAATGTCACCACGAATATTACATCCCAATATTTAAAAAAAAAATCATCATCTAAATCAGAGAAACCTCAACTCACACTTGCCTCCGAGAGGAATCCCCGGTTTCTCCTATGCAGGGTGAAGAATCTGATTCTTCGGCCAAAGATTCTAGCATGCTTGTTACCTCAGTTGTATCATCAAGATAATACTTTGCTTTGCTTGGCTTTTGTCCAACCGTGCAAGCAAACACAGAAGCATTGGTGGCAAGAATATTTCTTGAGATTGCACTACTAACTATTTCAAACATGTCCTCATCTGATCTGTCATCACCAACACACAGAACAAAGTCAGCATGCTTGCCTTTCCCGTCCATTGACGAAAATATCCTTTCAGCAACCAAACCTTTGCTCACATCCTGCAAACACAGACAGGCAAATGCAATCAGATGAGTCACTCAATCCTTTCCCCTAACTAAGGGTAGGGCGGCACAATTGTTTAAGCATCTCAAATCAATTATAAAGTTCATGGCAAGATTAAATAACAACCACCAGCAGCTATGCCCGCCAATTCAATATTCCATTCGAAAATTAACAGCTGAAAACCCTTTTAGAAGCATCAATTGTACCCAACAGAAGACGGGGGTTTGTCAAAGCAGACCATCAGAAGTACGAGAGAGAATATGTGAGATTTGCATAAAATAGGCCAGGTTCTCTTAATGTATGCTAGTAGTACAACCAAATAAAATTTAAAGACAATATTCCTTGTAAAGTTCCTCATCTTTTTTTTCTACTTTTGGTAACAAAATTCCCATCCTTCAGTTCCAATAACTATTTATTTACCACTTTTTTTAACAAATTAATGGCATGGATAGCATTATAATGATACAATTACAGAAGCATTAATGAGCTCCAGAAGTTCACACAAATCATATTTATCAAGATAGAATCTTAAGGTTGATTCCTACTTCACATGCCAAATCAACAAGTTTTCATAGTTTACGGTATGCCATGCAACCAAAAAAATATGAAAGCAAAATGAACAAATACAATGCAGCAGCACATAATGAAAACTATGTAAAACTAAGCTTGGTACATATGCTCTTTTTTTAGAGTATGAATCCAAACTCAAGAGAGCATCATTTTAGAAAGGTAATTCAAAAAGGCTCATTTTCTTCTCAGAGGAATTATATATACCTGTGGTTTTACTTCAACAATAAACTGGCCACTCTTCACAGCAACAGGCTCATTGGCCAAAACACTTTCTAGATGATCTAACATTTCCTTAGCCTGAGCAGATCCAAAACCGAGGTCTGCATCACGGTACTGCCAGACTAAAGCACTTTCTTTTCTTTCAATTGAGGAACCATCAGTTGCCTCTGTATATAGTTTCATCACAGGTTCAGCTATCTGCATCCATCCAAAGTCGGAGGACTTACCACAAATTTCCCAGTCTCCATTGTGGCACCATCTGCATAAAACAATTTGTTTTATACATAAGTTTCCATGTTACCAAATCAGAGAATGCAGGACATATTTAAGGACCGAAGATCAAGAGAGAAGATATGAAAAACTATATGTTACCTAAATGAAGAGGTAGTGAGAAACATTTTCAGAAACAAAATACCACTTTGTCAGGAATTTCTTCCTGGCAAGGCGGTCAGAAGCCGGGATGTTCTCAACAATGATTTAAACTACATAGCATGACTTACTAACAGCACATGTAAAACCAGATTTAAGTGTTTTGTAATATTATGTTGGATCTGTTAAATTAGACTTTAAAACCATTTTGATCTTTGCCTAATGTAGGCACTAAGTGATTCCATAATAGACAATACCTCCTTAATTGGACTCTACTTAATGGAGTCCTGGGGCATCCCAATACCATCATAGTCCAACAAAATAGCCCTACTTCTTGCCCATCTTGTAAGATGAAATCATAGCATCAATTGAGAGCTTTTTAAAACTAGGGTCAAGTGCTATGCTACAACTCTAAATCCAAAGCTAAGACCTATCCCACAACATCTTTTCCTTAGAAGGCCGTGGTGAAACTGAGAATAAAAGGAAATTACTGTAACCTGATTTATTCGGACAAAAAAATGGCACTTTCATACTCTACAACATTCATTGTATCATGAAGGTGCCTAAGATATATTTTGCATGACAGGTACAATAAACAATCTTTGGACAACTAATATTAAGCAAAACAGAAAAAGAGATGACATGTCAAAGAGAGAGAGAGAACAGACCTCAAGAAGTACCCATGTTCTGCAGCAATTCCAAGTTTTTTGCAGGGAGCAAACCAGTTACTTAAGCTATTCCTCCCCCTTCCACTAACAATGAAAACAACATTTTTGGGGTCCGCACTAAGTGATTCCATAATAGACAAGACCTCCTTGCTTGGACTCTTATTAATGGAGTTCTGCGGCATCACAGTACCATCATAGTCCAACAAAATGGCCCTACTACTTGACCTCTTGTAAGCTGAAACCATAGCATCAATGGAAAGCTTTTTAAAATTAGGGTCAAGTGCCACAACTCTAAATCCAAAGCTAAGACCTATTCCCCAACATCTTTTCCTCAGAAGGTCTGTGCAAGCCCGCTCCATATCTTGCAAGAAACTATGTGACCAATAAGCCACATCATGGGTGCTGACATACCGGTAATGCTTCTCATGCCGCAACTGTTTCTCCCCATCACCCATTGAGATGGCCTCATTCATTGCCTCTGAAGTTGCTTCAACATTCCATGGATTGACACGGATTGCCCCACTAAGTGATGGGGAACACCCAATAAATTCTGATATTACTAGCATACTCTTCTTTGGAAAACTAACACTGGAACATAATTCAGAATCAGATATTCCCTGTCTACAAGCAATGTATTCATAAGGAGTTAGGTTCATCCCATCCCTTACAGCTGTGACAATAACACACTCAGCAATACTGTAATAGGCAACTTTTTCAGCAATAGATACTGCTCTATCAATAAAAACAATAGGTTCATAACCAGGTCGCCCAAACACCCTGTTGATCCTGGCGCAGCTTTCTTGTATTTCAGCATGTATCTCCTCCAAATGTATCCCTTTACCTCTAGCTGGATTAACTATCTGGACCAGAACAGCTCGTCCTTGCCATTTGGGATGTTGTCTGAGCATCTGCTCCATAGCCAAAATCTTCAAATTTATGCCTTTAAAAATGTCCATATCATCAACACCAAGTAAAATGGTTTTCCCTTCGAATTGCTGTTTGAGCTCCCTTACCGTAGTCTCCTCAACTGCCATTCTCATAACTGACTCAATCCGACCCATGTGAATCCCAACAGGCATAATCTTAATACTTATTGTCCTTCCATAATACTCCAATCCTAAATAACCCCTCTTTGACTGATACTCCAGACCCAACATACGACTGCAGCAGGAAAGGAAATGACGAGCATAGTCAAAGGTATGGAATCCAATGATATCAGAGTTTAGTAAAGCTTTCAGTATCTCTTCCCTGACAGGAAGAGTCCTGTAAATCTCTGATGATGGAAAGGGGCTATGGAGGAAAAATCCCATTTTAACCCTGTTAAAACGCCTTCTTATAAAAGTTGGCAGCACCATCAAGTGATAATCATGAATCCAAATGTAATCATCCTCAGGGTTTATTATTTCAACAACCTTTTGAAAAAATAGCTTGTTTGCTAGCACATAAGCTTCCCACATAGTGCGATCAAATCGGTGGCTTTTATCTGTTGAAAATGGCAACATGTAATGAAAAAGTGGCCATAACTGCCTTTTACAAAAGCCATCATAAAATTTTGCCAAAACGTCAGCAGGTAGAAAAGTCGGGACACATTTGAATTTGTCCAATAAATGCTGAGACACGTCATCCTGTTCCGCTGGATCAATGTCAACTCGTAATGAACCAACATAAAGAACTTCCATGTCATCCGGAAGTCCATCCTTAAGCTGTAAAAGCAATGAATCTTCATTCCAACTGAAAGACCACCCTTTGTTGTCCTCTCTTCGCTTTGCCTTCAATGGTAACTGGTTAGCCACAATTATCATTCTATCCGTAGTAACTGTCGATGGATTATCAGAGGAAACACTAACTGCTTGATCATCATCTACCTCAGTGAGAAACCCTGGGACACTCATAACCCTCGGCATCCGCCTCCGCTCCCTAGATTCCCTCCCCCCCATTGCCGGGAAATTCCCAGAGGCCAAATCTAAAAGATTTGTATACGATCTGGACATCATCTTTGCGGCTTCCTAAACAATACAAAATCCCACAAAACTTTTTCACTCTGCAAAATCAACAAAAAGAACAGCAAACAAAAACCCATTAATCATTGAAGACACAAAAAACCTAACTCACAACCTTCAAATACACACACACACACACACATTCTCAAACATCAACACGTGAGAACTGGATTCATTAAGTGATAACTAAACACACTGTACAACAACACATTCATAATTTCCTGGTGTCAAATAGTTACCACTACACCAAAATGCAGTCACATCACACACACGCACATGGTAATTTGTGAAGACACATTCCAATCTTAGATACTATGCAAAAGCCCCAAATTATTGACCCCCAACATAGGTTACATCACATTGAGCATAGGAATAAACACCCTTTACAAGGGTTTCAAAAAATATTAAAAAACCCCATTATTCCAACAAAACTTCAGAGATTTTCCGACACAAAGGGATCGACGAAAATCTAACCCGATTAAAAAACAAACAGAAAAACAAAAACGACGCCTTTTATATTCTCCAAAACAGAAAGGGGAACAACACAGGAAAATTGAGAAAACGAGAATTGAAACCAGACCTTGTTCGATTGAAGCAATGACAAGAGAACAAGAGATTCCTTATTGGCAACAGTAGCAGGTTGGAGCTGAAAATTAATGGAAAAATTTAGAAAAATAATCCAAAAAAGGAAAAACTAGGGTTTCCTTATTTACAAGATCTCCCCCCTCTCTCTCTTTCTCTACCTCTTTCCCTCTTTCTTTCTTCTTCTCCCTGTCCTTCTTCTTCTTCTTCCAACCCAAAATGAATTCCAATTAGAAAAGCGTTATAGTGAAAATATAGTAACGCAGATTCACAGAATTGATATAATATTTCACAAACCGAATATTAATGATTTAATTAAATTAATACACATTCATTCAAAATGAGGCCAATGCAAGATAATCAAATATGTCCATTTTTTTCGTTTTTAAAAATATTATTTGTCTCTCTCTCTCTTAATTTTTTTAAGCACAAGTAAATCGTGGCCTCTTATCTGTAGATGCACAAGGTGCCGCCACGGGTGCGACGCGCTGGGTCATGGGCCAATGGGAGGCCTCGTTCGCACGCGTGAGGTTAAAAGGGTAATTGCAGAAGATTGGTACTAACCAATGGCAGTGGCGGTGAGGGAGGAAAGGTGCAGGATGCGTGAGGCTAGCTCAACTTTATAAGAAAATGGATAAGGTTGGGTTGGCAAGTGAGTGGAGCGAGATGCCAGCTGGCAACACCCGGGGAGAGCATTGACCACGCGCTCTGCACGTGCTGCGGACCTAACACGTACTGGTTGTACGTTGGGGCGTCACTGTGTTGCACCCACCACGCGGACAGGGGTAAAAAGGGAAAAACAGAGACAAAAAAAATGGTGAGAAGTGGAAAATCACCGCAGACGAGAAAAAGTGAAATACCATGAACTTATACTATTGGGAGAAGAGTGAGGCATCATGATGCATGACATGACATGAATCTTGAACATAATCATTGAAATTCATTCTCTTAATATGAATATATGTTTGGTTGTAGTTTTGTCTTTTATTTTATAAAAATTTTAATCTTTTTTAAACAAATTATGATTTTACTCTTTTAATTTTTGTTTATTTGTAATTTTAGCTTTGTATTTTTAATTATTTATAATTTTATTCAACTTTATGTCTTAAAAAAAAATACATTCATCAATTATGTAGCTACAACCATATTTTTAATCGCGTAAAAAAAGTGTCAAATATAATGTGTTTTTCCTCAATTTTATAATTGAACTGAAGATTAAATAAAATTATTAGAAATTAAAAATTCAGAAACAAAATTATATAAAAAAATTAGGACTAAAATTATAGATAATTAATATTAAACGATTAAAATTATGAAAACAAATTAAGAACAAATTTATTTTGAGTAATTCTTCTATAAATGAATATTATTTATAGTTTTTAACATTAAAGAATGTATAATTTTTTTTTGTACATTACATGTATATTTTGTTTTAAATAGTTATACTGAATTAGATAGAATTATTATAAATGATAAAGAAGTTGACTGATTTATATTTGCTAAATGAAAAAATTATCTTAGTTTTATTATTGATTAATTAGTTGGTCATGATTAAAAATTAATAAATGAAAATGTTTTTCAAAATCGTGCTGAAAATGTATTAATAGTATTAAATAACTTCAATTGTACTTTTAGTGTTTTATTAAACGCATTTAAAAATTTAGATTACTCTTTTCTTTTTGAAAATTTAGTGCACTACTTTTTAATTGTGTAATTATGATTATTTTTAGAAAATGTATTATTTTTTCTATTGCAAATAAAAATATTGATATAAGTTATTTGTGAACAAAAAATATAATAAAGTAAATAATATTTTATTAAACAATAGTGTTAACTACTTCATATTTTTAAAAATTAAAATAGCACTTATATATCAAGCTTTTTTTGTCATGATTTTTCTTTTCATTTATTTTCTCCCACAATATTATATGAATGTAAATCACCACTAAAATCAGTACAGTGGTTGAAATTTTAATTGTTTGTAATAAGTATTGAATCTAAACCTTCTTATAGCCATTGTGAAAAGTTATCATTGATATGTGTTGAGAAATTGTGAAAGAGATAATTTGTTCATTAAAATTTTGTTGACCCACGGAATGTGATGTCTCAACTTTAGTTGCACATGCTGTGAAAGATGATAACAATAAAATATTCTGCCATTCTAATTTCCAAACGTGCACAATTGGTTAAAGCTATGCACTTTGAATAATAAATTGAAGGTCACAAAGATCTATATATATATTTTTTTACCATTTTAGAGTAGACCAAAAGACCCAAAAGAATAGTTAACTTGAGAATTGGATTATACCTTTTATTTCTTTAAATGTTGAAGGACTTCGACAAAGGCAAGTTTTTTATTATGAAAGATAAAATTGATCAAGTCATGGTTTTTATTAGAAAAATATAATCATGAGAATGAGAATTGACCCAATGACCACCCTTTCAATGTCTAGTACTAGATTTATGATTGTGTGCCCTAAAATCACTTTATGATTGTTAAATGTGAAAAGAGGGTGACGTAGGTCTATGATCTATAGACAACAGCATGTAAGTTAAAGTCAACAAGATGAAGTAACATGAAGTAATCAGATCCTTCTTCTACTTTGTTTATTCTAGACCAACATGTCACATTAAAACTATTCCTTGTTCGTGAATGACATAGGAATAAGATTATTTGATTTTGATAATTATAAAATGTCTTATCATCTCGTCAAATGAAAACGAACAAAATAAAAGGAGGATAAAAGGCAATGCCATTGACAATGAAATAGCGTGCCAACACAACAACGTAATTCCGAAGTAACATGGCCCGGTTCATTTTATTTTTTTATTTAGTAGTTTAATCCAATTTACATTATATTTATCACTTTACAACAAAGCTTCTGTTTTTTATATTTCTTAATATTTATAATATGAAAATATAAATATTATAATATTAATATTATTTTAATACACCTAAGAGTATCATGTTATTTAGAGTTAAGACAATGATAAATTTGAGAGGTTTTTTAAAAATAAAAATATAATTGAGAAAATTTTTAAAATATATAATATTTCCAACATTGATTATAATAACATCATTAAAATATTCTTAAATAAAATAAATAATAAAGATAAATAGTAGTTTTATTATCTAACCAAAATTCTATAATATTATCTTTATTTCTCTTCCACGTGTAGATTACAAATTTTTTAAGTCCTGCTTAATTTTTATATTAATTTAAATAATTATTTTAAATCATTTTTAAAACATAATTTTTTTTCAAATTTAAAAATAAAATATTCATTAAATTTAAGAATAAAAATATAATGCAACCAAAATTATAGACATTGGAAAGATAATTAAAGACAAAAATATTATTTTCAATATTTCTCCTGCAACACCAAAGTGTTTGTGGTGTTGGGCCTTACAAGCACAATATCTATCTACATTAATTTATTTTCCTCAGTATATCCCAGACAAGTACCAACGTTTATGGGTTATTGTCTATGACAGGCCAAACCTACGCGCAGTTTTAACTTTTAAGGATGTTTTGGGTTGATTGGACCAAAACCTGATATTTGGGTTTGATTCACATGTTTTACGTGGATGGGTTATTACGTTGTCTTACATAAAATGACGTAACAAATTATTTATATTTCTTTTATAAATATTTTAGTTCTGAAATATATATATATATATATATATATATATATATATATATATATATAGTTTTAGATAAACATAATTTATTTTTTCAAAGTAAATATGCTTTTGTTTTATGACGGTGCATGTGTAATTGTTATGGCATGATGTAAGTTTTGTAAGATGCAAAACTAAATGACCACTACTTACTGGTTATAATTGTTATTATTATTATTATTATTATTATTATTATTATTATTATTATTATTATTATTATTATTATTATTATTATATATATATATATATATATATATATATATATATATATATATGTAATATAAAAACTTACTGGTTTATTAAAAAAGTAATCTTTTATGTAGCTTAATATGGGTAATATTTTAAAAGGATAAGCTAATATGAGTTTTATTATATTAAAATTCTTATTTTGAAGAATTATATATAAATAAACATGTTCTAAAGCATAAGATGAAATGTCAACTGAATATTTAAATATATATAACTGAGGATTAGGTTAGTCAATAAATTGGAAATATTTTATTAGCTTAGTCAATATTTAAATATAAAACTATGTCATCTTCTATGTTCTCATAAAATCTAAGCATAACGTCGCACATAAGACAAATATCTTTTGAGAGATTCTTATATAAGTTTTCACAATTAAAAAACAAAATAAAATAACAATCAATCATAAATCATTCTTTGAAACAAAGTCATGCTAAGAGAAAATATAAAAGCGTGAAAAAAATATTACTATTTTTTTTTTAATTTTGATAAAAGTAAAAAAAAGAAGAAGAAATACTTTAAAGTTTTTAAAGTAGAAGGTTTGAGAAAAATAAAATCCAACCCCTTTCTCATTATAATTATTTTTTTTTAATAACAAGTTTAGTGTTCATAAAAAATATCATAATATTAATACTTTTAAAAAATGTTACTTATATTTACATTAATAGATTAACTAGTTAGGTATAAAAGTACTTTTTGAATAATATAAGAGTTTGTCTTTTAATCGTATAGCTTTTATTAAAATTTAGACTTAACATAATTTATTTCTTAAAAAGATTTAGCTAGTTTGAGCATGTTTTAAATCGATTCATAAAAAAATCTATTTTCATCTTTATTTATTATAATTTATGATTTATTTATGCATAATTAGACTATACAGAATAATACAATATTAATTTTTATTATTTTTAATAAATTTATTAGTTTATTATTAATACTTTTAACATTTATTTATTCAAAATACTTTTAACTAATTTATTATTATTTTTAATAAATATAATTAAAAGAAAGAAATATAATGAGTAAAATAATAATTAATACAACCTTACCCTTCATTAATATTGTACGCCATATATTTTAAAATAGAGGGAATAATAAATAAGACTGTTTATCTATAAATATTTAAAAGTTTAAATATATAAATAATATATTTTATTATATTCAATAAATAACATATTAGAATAAATCTTAAAAAGTTTAGAACAACTATCTCATTATGGTTAATAAATATAAAAAAATTTGACAAAATAATTCATTTGATTTTGTTTTTTAGTTTTTAAAAACACTTATAGAAATCAATTTAAAAAATATGTTTTGACAATAAGTTGAAAAAATGTCTGATAATTCAATTTTAAAAATTATTTTCGATGAAAAAAAAGTCATAAATAATAAAAAAAATTATAAAGAAAGTTGAAAAATAATTTTGATAATTTTACAATGATAAAAATAAATAATTTAATATAATTATTGACAAAAATAAAAAAATATTTTATTATTTTTAATTTTTAAGTTTTTAAAAACTAAAAAATTAGAATTTATTTTTAAAAATAGTAATCAAATAAGATTTTAACGACTATTATTTTGATAATTTATTTATTTATTTTCAGAAATTTGACAAATTATTTTATTATATTAAATATCAATAGTTTGTTTACCATCTTAATGGACACTCAAACTACTGAAACAGCACAGATACAATTCTTAATGAATTTTTCCTTTACTAGAAACTTCTAACATAATTTTCATATTTAAAATTTTCAGTCTTATCAGATTCATCGTATCAGGGAAAGAAAAAACAAAATAGTTAATAGGCAAACGTAATTCACACTAATAAGGTGAGATATTAATTTCATCCTTTTCTTAGAACACAACAAGCTTATAAGAAGAAAGGTTCATGAAATTTCCCAAATTGCATATTCGAATAAAATGGGAATAAAACAAAGGAATAGATAGAGCCAGTGGCAATTAAGTTATGCCACTCTCAATATAAATAAATATATAATAACCACATAATATGACACAGTCTATTCTTATCTCTAACCTTCTCATCATATCTTTGTTGGATCCAATTTCAATTTAAGCCATTCATTTTGAGACACAGTAATAATGGCTGCAGAACAAGTTCTTAGATTGCTAGATTCCTTCTGGTTTGAGGCATCAATTCTCTCCAACAAAACCCCTTCAGCCTCTCACAACATCAAGGTGGAGGAAGTGCTTCCTCTTGATGCAAAGCTTTCACTAGTTCCAACTCCAAGCCTAGAAGTGAGGTCCTACAGTGACCAAAACTTGGACTCCACAACATGTACTTTCTGTGATTCCCCTTCACCGAATTCTGTGCTCACCCTTCAAGGGCTGAGGACGATCCCTTCTGAGAGGGAAATCATAGAATTCTCTAGTGGAATTCATGGAAAGGAAAGTGTAAACTTTAAGACAAAACAAAAGGGGTTTAGGCATGGAAGAAGGCTCAGCAAAGAGAGAACCAGCAGGAGCCTATCAGAGCTTGAGTTTAAGGAGCTAAAAGGGTTTATGGATTTGGGGTTTGTGTTCTCTGAAGAGGACAGGGATTCAAAATTGGTTTCCTTGATACCAGGTTTGCAAAGATTGGGAAGAGATGAAGATGAAGGGCAAGGTGATGAAGGTGTGGTTTCTGATAATATACCTTATTTGTCTGAGGCTTGGGATGTTTTGGACCAAAGGGAGATGAAAAATCCTTTGCTGAATTGGAGGGTACCAGCTAGGGGTAATGAAATTGACATGAAGGACAATCTTAGGTTCTGGGCTCACACAGTTGCATCCATTGTAAGATAAGGATGAAAAAAAATTACATGCAGTTCTTTTGATATTTTTTTGTCTTACTCTTTTTTAGAATTGGAATATCATCTGAGTAACTTTTATGTTGACTTTAACACAAAGTTATATTATCTACACTACTGAGATAAAATTCGAATTCTAATTGAAAAACAACCCAACAAAACCACTTAGAAGAGCAGCAGCTAAATTTTGTCAACATCACCATTAGCAGAAGAAGAAGAAGAAACTAAAAAGTTTTCATTTCATGGGTCAGCAAATTAGTGATTGTAAATATTACATTGGATTCTAGCTATAATAATAAATGTACATATTTTACAAGTTTTTCTTGTAGCCAATTTGATATTGTTGTCTCTGTCATTTTGTCGAATTTCACTGCAAAATTGATTTATGAAAAAGATACACATGGATTGCAGAGTAGGCATTGGTTGGTTGAATTTGCCATGTTCATAGGATAATTTGTTTAATCCTTGAGAATCTTGATTAGTTTATTGCAAGTGCTTTGAGAAGGTGCAATTGCATAAAGACACACTTTTCATTAATTTGTCTTGTGCTCTCGATAATTGAGCAATGCAATTGGCTGAACCTTAGAATTTTATTGGCGTAGTTGACACGAGGGTTAAACCAACCTAATTGACTTAAGGTATGTTATTTAGTGAATAACAAGAATGGTGGGGTTCAAGTGAAAGAGACACAAAGAAATGAGAGAATCTGAGCCACGGATAATTAATTATTCTTACATTAATACGAATGTTTTAATACGTTAAATATTGTCATTTCATAAAATGTTGAGATATGCTAATATATTGGGATTCTTTTTAAAGATAAAGTGGATAAATAATTTTAAAATATTGAAAAATGATTAAATAATTCAAACATATGATTGTCAACATTTTTAGACCAAAATCTATATTTTCTCGGTATTTTGTTAAAAGAAAGACACTATTTTTTTTTCTTCTTTTTTGTTAATAAGAAACTTAGGTGAAGATTATATAAAAAATCAAAGATAATGGTATAATTAAGAGAGGAAAAAGAAAAAAAAAAGAAAAAAAAGAAAAAGAAGTAAGTAATAAAAAAATAAATTAACTTAATTTTGGGACATACGTAGTCAAATTCTTGACCAAACAAAAATAAAAAATAAAAAAATTAACTTAATAGAGTTTTCTAATAGATATTGACATTGAACACCTACCCAATAATCACTGATTACTTTTCAAACAAACCATTAATCATGCATAAAAATCTGATTACTTTTCAAACAAACCATTAATCATGCATAAAAATCTAGCAACATGATTATCATCTTTTGATGATTAAATATTATTTTATAGTATTCAAATGTGTCTAGTAGTACTATTATGTGTCTCCTAAAACTAATTAAAATCCTATTAATTACTAAATTTAAATAAGTTTATATTTGTAAAATAAAAAAAAACAGCACTTTTTAATTTTCTATTTATATGATTTTAAATATATTTGTATTAGTCCTTTTATTACAAAAACCATTAAATTTTTGTTTATATAATTAACAAATATAAATTATAGTTTTATATTTGTGTCATAAAATACTTAATTACAAATGCTATTTTTTTAATTTATAGAAATACAAAATTAATATAAATTTAAAAGACAAAAAAGTAGAAATTTTAAGAATCTAAAACATGTTTAGTTCTTAATTTTGAAATTAAAGATATGTAATAGGAGGGTTGAGCCACCGGCAATAAAAAGATATTGTGACGGTGTAAGAATATTTTTTAGTGAGTCCCAACAACACTTGTGATTATATCGAAAGAGACAATGATTATGTTGTGTCACTGATAAAAGAATATTCTACTATCGTATCCAAATTTCTTCTACAAAAATTATTTAAAATGGAGAAACTTTGATAACTTGGAAACTACTCTTATATAGATCCTTTTAAAGATTTGCTAGAAAATGTTGCATCAGTTCCACGTATTTTTGGTGTTGTTTAATTATTATCTGCATTAATCTTATTAGTACTATGTTTTCTGAAGAAAGTTGTTACTAATCATGTCTTTATAGTTTTAACCATTGATGATAATATGATAAATCTATAACCTAAAAGTCAATTGACTTAATTATTAATAAATCTATAAATAAATTATTCTTAAGAATATCTTTGTGCTCGTCATCTTGAATCTTATCTGTCACAGAAAAAAACAAAAAAACTAAACCGATGAAGTTGAAGACGGTGTCAGATCAGAGTGATCGTTTTAAAATGATAAATCTCAATATTTTAAGTACAAAATAAATAATTTTTGCTTTAGAATATTTTTATATTATTTCTATAAGTATATATGAGAAATGTCTTTTATAATAATATATTATAACTGTAGTTATTTTAATTATTATTAAATTAACTCATATTTCTTTTAATTTAAAAAATGATAATTTTGTTTTATTTCTCATCGTTTGTTGTAGTGATTTAAGTAATTCATAATTTATGGCTTATCGGTTATATATGTTGGGATATAGAATTGTTCTTCATTTGTATGTTTGTGAGAGGTTGAATTTAAATAACTAATTATTTCTTTAAAATATACAAAGGAAGAATAATCATATAAAATATTTAAAATTTTAAAATTAAATTCTGACATATAATTAAAAATATTATTATGATAATTTATGTTAAATAAAATTTCAGTTTATTATAACATATCAAGTATTAATATGGAATGGATTATATGATGATAGATTTAAAATATTTAGTTTTTTTTAACAAGATAAAAAGTACAAAACAAAATTTAAATTATAAAAATATAAAATTAAAAATTTTCAAATTAATAAGAAGAAACTACATTTATTCTTTCTAAAAATATACTAAACAACAACACACATTTTTTATATTTTATTTTTTATAAATTTTATGTAATTTAATAAGTATGTTATTTCTAAATAGACTAAAATAAGTAAATATCACTTTATTAATTATGATTATTAAAATATAAGAAATGTATGTATTTTTCAAAATTTATTAGAGTTTATCTTTTATGTAGAGTTTATCTTAAACCCAAATCCCTCTAATTTGATTTAATTATGTTGAATGTACCAATTCAAATGAAAGACAAAGAAATTGCATCACTGCATGTAGTCTTATGTAATGCAAGAAAAACTAGAAAATCTCACAAAAAAAAAAAATGCACATTGAACTTAACTTTCTTTTAGTTATCCTTGTATCCACTATAAATCATCCACTATAGCACTATTTTTACTTTAATTAGTGTTGCTGCAGCATATACAATGATGGATTGTTAAAAGAGATGTAAACTTATGAGATTCGTTGAGATGCTATGGATGAATTAATTACATGGGACTTTGAAGAAATACTGGTCACTAGTCCTTGCTGGAAGCTGTCTCTGGAAGTTTAAATGTGGGAGGCTTATCAACACCCCTTCTTGAGTATTCCCTCCATCTTCTAGCAGCAGCAGCAGCTCTCTTTGCTCTTTCTTTTATCTCCTCCTCTGCATAATGGTTATCATTTCAAACACTGTAATTGCCATCAACAATATAACCTTCACTTTATAGTACTCAGAAATTGAATTTAATAGGAATTCACCAATAATGTGTATGTTTCTTTACACTGTCATCTAATCATAGATTTCTGATTGATTGACAGTGTAAAAATCTTTTTGAACTTTTAATAGTCTATCACAGTCCAATAAGCATACTTTTGATGTGGAGTCAAAATTTGCTAATAGCTACTGAAGGTTAGAAGTTGCAACTTTTCATCCACTTAAAAGGAATGCTAAAGTAAAGTTCTGAGAACAAATAATTAAAAAAGAAAACATTGACAGATAAGAACTATATTAAATATTTCAATACCTGAACTTAAGTCTTTTGGTTTGCCCCAAAGATTGTTCCAGAAAAGATCTGCTTTATCAGAACCTTTCTCCTTCGTCATTCTCAATTTTGCTTGTTCCTACAAAACACTCATCAATGTTTAGTCATTAGCGTAACATGTTTTATAGCGTGAAACTAACAATCAAGATTTTTCTACTCAAGAAATAGTGAAGTATTTTGTCAAATGAAGAACCACATTAGTTTGAAACATCACTCATTAATGTAAAATAAGTAATTGGGACATCCCTCTAAACTTATGAAATAAAAAATTTTCAAAAAGGTTCTGTATTATCCAGTAAATATTGTAGTATCTTAAACTGCAGGTTCCTCATATTTTTCTTAAAAGAATAAGTATTCTTGATTTGAAACTTTCTGTCATTTGGTGGACAAATGGATTGAAATATCAAAATTATTATCCATTTATATCCAATCTAACAAAAGTTTTTCAGAAAATCATGTTCTGAATTATTCATTTACATGTATGATTGGAATAAATAGTTACTAGGAATCCATTGAATCAAGGACTAATGAGAAATATTATAAATATTTTAGACAAGAAACTCCTGCGCAAACTTGGAGCTTGCTATTATCAAGAGCGAACTACCCTCTTGGTCAGAAAGATTGGGTTGAGTTCAGTTTTGTTTCTCAACAACTTGGGACATAAATTCAAACCTTGAAAAGAAGTGATATGGTTTAAATGAATGAAGGACAAACATAGGACAAATCAATCATAATTTCCATTTGAAGAACTGCATGCAAGTAAGTGATTCCCCACTAAACCATGGAAAGAAGGTGATTGAGAATGAGTTCTTACCAAGACTTTTGCCTGCCTCTTTTCCCATCGGGAACTTGCCTGTAATTTAGTACGAATGAATTGTTTTAGAGGAAACAGCACACACAAATAGTCTATTACATCTATGCTAAAACACTACAATCTTAATCATACTGATTAAAATATTTTCAACAATGATAGTGCTACCAAGAAGTATTCTAAAAAAAATGCTTTCTTCATCCATGTTATCAAGACTTTTTGCATCATTGTTTCAGGAGTTGGAAAGAAGAAATATTAAGGTCTCAGCCATGTTGTGGGGCATGAAGAATATGATCATTTCAACCTTTATTCAAAACCAAGATAGCCTAATGTAGCTAAAAATTTGGAAGAAAAGCTATGAAAATTTAAATAACCCAGTAGTCTCCGGGTTATTCTTACCATTCTGAAAACATCAGTTGATGCTGATCCCATTCCTGAAAGCATTAAGGCAACCTGTTCATATGTACTCTGCTCAGTAGATGCATTGATGGTATAGAAAAAGCTTACTAGAACATGAGCAGTTTTAGCATATACTGAATCGTTTGATTTGGTGATGGAATTATAATATCTACCAATTTGCTAGAAAAAGAGCCATCTTATTTTAGCCCATTGGTTATCTAAAAATACTTCAACTTCATTTTACAATAAGAACAAGATTATCACTATGAGAGACAAACTGCATTTTTTTTTTTTTTTTCAAAAAATTCATGTTAGTTAAATTGAGATTTTCTAACAATGATCAGAAACGATCAAGAAATATTGCAGCTTGAAAACTTGAAACAATATGCTGCTTGGTTAAAACTGTTTCTGATATATCAGTAGCAATCTAACAGAAAATAAGAAGTGACCATAATATATTAAGAACAGAGATTACAAGGATAAAAAGACCCGGAAGAAGTAGACATTGTAAATTTGCTCTTACATTGACTCTTTCTACTCGGCGCATTTCATCTTCAAGCAATGATAGTTGTGCAGCTGATGTCCAATGAATGCAGTCAACAGGGCTAAAATACAAAAGTTATTGTTAAATTATTTCTGAAATCTCCATTAGCCTCGTCAGTTTACAAGCAATGCCTTTGTCATACGAATGGTCTGAAAACTCAAGTTCTCCATGACAACAATGGAAAATTAAACATATATTACACTGTAGAAAGAAGACTTATTTCCAATATTTTAAATGGTAGTTACAGTTCTGTGAAATCACAAATAAATGTGGCTGATTAAATCATATTTAAAGTTGCATTGTGGTCACAAGATGTAAAAAACCTTGACATTCCGGCTACAATTGTGATAGTGAACCATATTTGAAAATTTCAAATTTAAATCCCACTTTTCATTTAATAAGTCACTCTTCCCTTGTATTTTTCAATAAATTTTAATCAATAGTAATGTATGTGCCTTGCTAGCACACCTCTAATCAATAACACACTATGATAATCAATAACCAATATGCTTTTCTAGTGCAGCCATACACCCCCAAGTTCTGGTAATGTGGGGCTAAAGACCTAAGAACAAATTAATCTTAGTAATAAAATGGATTAGGAATTTTATAAAAGAGTGACACTTAAGTCAATGTCATCACCACAAAAAAAATAGATAAGGAAGGGTGATTAGAGTAATGCTTATAATTATACCAACTATCAATAGCTTGTTGAACTAATTCAGATTCCCCGCATTGGCTGTACACTCTGGCTCTTCCAAATTCTTCCTCTATTCCAAAAACATCACAGGCTACATTGGCACAATTTTTGCAGCCTGTCAAGGATTTGAAGTACAATTACAAAACATGCAATGGAATTCTTCTAGTTGAGGATCTAACAAAGACAATGAAACAACTTCTAGGCCTATCAAGACAAGAAGCATTTCAATTAAATACACAGCTTTACAAATTTTAGATGTCAATGTTGTCTCTTTGGCATTACCAACTCCTGGTAGATTCAAAACAGTTTTTCTAAAAAGGAAGTGTGTGTATATATATATAAAAGCCTCATTCCTAGAACTGAGGAGTGGATATAGGACTTTTCAACAATATGAACATATAAGATAACATTATAATTTGTAGAATGAGAGATAGTACCTATGCAACTGAATTCATCAACAAAAACATGATCCTTTGGACTAGACTCATCCAGAAAAGGGTTAATGGAAGTCAAAGAATACCCATGAATTTCATCATAAATCATGCGCTGAATGGGATCACTGAGCACCTGCACTGCAATGGTCAACTTACTATATACATATACAAACAAACTTGAATAACAATTTTCTCAAGCTTTAAACTTTCTAATATTCAAATGAAACCCACCCCATAGACTTCATTGATGAACGTGCAGAAATTGGTTGTCTCAGGATCATTGCCACTCAAGTCTGGGTGGCAAGTTTTCATGCAGTTGTAGTAGGCCTTCTTGATCTGTGCTGGAGTGGCATCTGGAAGCTGGTGAAATGGAACAACCAATCATTTGAGTTCACTTTTGATATTATTATCAATATTTTTTTTTTTACTTTATCAAGTAATTGGGAATCATTTGAGATATGACTTTGAAAGTATAACTTGTACAATTTTACTATTTTCAATTTCAGATGGTGTCAATAGCATTTTTCTGTAAGACCCACCATAAATAAATTATGCTATAATGCTACCCTATTGAAAATCAATCAAAAAATGAATGAAACGAAGCACATTAAAAGAATATTTTGTTCATTTCACAGGACTTCCATTAATTATTATATTTTTATCATTGAATAAACAATATAGGTCTGACAGTGTAAATAATTGCCATGAAATCATATCTTATTTTTTATTGGATGAAATAATATATAGAAATCAAACTCTTTTCTATTATTTACCATGGAAGAATATTTTGAGTAGAACGAAAGAGAGAAAATATCAAAGTGTAATACATTACCAGACCCAAAACTGCATAGTAGTCATCTGCAACAGTCTCATTCGTTGAAAACGATTTTTCCTCAGGAGCAACTCTTACCCTGCCACACCCTCTTCGTTTGCCATTGTGTGTAACAAAGTTCATCGGAGTTGCAGTCTTTGGAAGCATCCCCCACGAGCTTCTGGAGCAAAAATTCTGTGACGGGTTGTGAAGTTTGAGAGGTTCTGTGTACACTGGAGATAGTAACTGGGCCATTAAAAAAACCAATGACAGACACTTCTCCAGATGAAAGTTGAATCGAAGCGTTGAAACGAGAAATGAAATGACATAAAAAGATCAAAATAAATTAGAGTGTTGATATTTCTTTTTGTTGATAATTGGAGATATTGTAAGTTCTAATTTTTAAGGAGGAAGAATTTCGGTTGAGAATATCAGAGACCGTGTTGCTGATGTGGCAGTGTGACAACCAATGACATCCATAGAATCTGGAGGAACTGAAGATGAATCTAGGAGAGTGAGAAAACGAGACAAAGTGGGTTTTACACGGGAGTGGCACGTGTAATCTTGTGCACACATGTTGCATAGTGTTGCCAGTGTCGTGTTCCTCTCCTGCTTGGAACAAAATGTTCGATGCCACGATGTTTTTTTGGGCTGTTCATCGTGCCCCTTATTTTTAATTTGTTTAGGACTTTATATGCTTAATAGCACAATTTTTTTCTTTTTGTTGATTTAAATTTTTTATTATTAACCATTTTATTAGTTAATTTTTAATAAATTGGAAAATCTTAAAGTAAAAAGGTAAATACAAAAATATACCTAAACTGAAAAGAATGAAAAAAAAACAACCAAAAAAATTGTCATTATTTATTTTGACTAAATATTATTGTTTTGAATTTTTTATTAACACAGTAATTAGTTATAACCTAAATACTAACTTGACTTAAATACAACTTTTATCTTTGGATTTTGTTTAATCCTCAATTTTAGTTCCCGATTAAAAATAGAGATACTGGATATTTCCTTTTCAGAAAATCCACAATTTTAATAATTTTTTTAATTATACACATTTTCTATTAACATATTCGTTTTAAGCACTATAAGAAATAATTTAATTCCTTAAAATATAAGAAATAAAATACATAAAGGTAGATAAAATTAAGAATTAGACTGAAACTATAGATTTTGTAAAATAGAAGATCAAATATCTATATTTTAAAACGAGAAATGAAAATTGTAGATCGAGAAAAATAGAGAACCAAAATTGTTTTTAAGTATAAATATTAAAATATGTAAGATAAAATGTACGGGAAAAGTTGGGGAGAATAAAAGATGTAAAAATGTGAGAGTAGAATAATAAAATGTGCAATATAATCCTCTAGTCACATGACATGATTATGTTGTAGAACTTAAATTTCAATAACTCTACCTAGAGTTTAAGATAATATAAAAGAGAAACTAAATTTGGAGAAGATATTCTAATCAAAGTTAACATAAAAATCAATATGTTTTAATCAAGATCAATAAAAATAAAGTCTTATTTACCGTGTCTAACTCTGTAACAATAATGACAAAATAGAGAAAAATTATAAAAACTTTTACTTTCTATTTCATTTAACAATACAAAATTTAATTTTATTTTATTTTAAGAGTTAAAAACCTATATAAGAGTATTCAGATTTTCTATTTACTTAAATTTTATATTTTGAATAATGTTTTAAATTTTATATCTTTATTTTTGGGTTTGTTCCTTTTAAAGATCAATATTAATGGTACTAATCATGTTATCATCTTTCCATTTAAGTCAGGTTTTCTTAAAACTTAAACCATTACAAGATCTGTTTTAATGATCAAATGCCTTTTGAAGTATCCACTATGCTAATCAAAAACACTTTGTTTCGCATTCCCATAAATTTTTTATCTATCTTTATACTAAAATAAAATGGAATAATTTCACAATCTTTTTAATAACAAAATCAATTATATTTAGAAATATTATTAAAACTCAATGCATACACCATAACACGAAATTATAAAGAATAATTCAAACAAAGCATGAACAAAAATGAAATAAAGAAGAAATGGGTCCAGACAAAGAATTCAAGAAAAAAAAAAGAGTAATTGTTCATCATTCTTTCACCATAACTAACAAAATTTATATTAAACTTTCCATCAATCTAAATCTCTCAACCTGAATTATCTTAATTCTCACGTTTTTTTGTCTCTATGATCATCAAGATCTGCTGTGAGGTTTCCTTGTTGAATTACATAGGTAATTGACTCTTCTGTCCCTTTGTTATTAATTTTTTTGTTACTAGTTTCAGCTTTAATTGTTACAGTTCCTCCCCAATTAAAATGAACCTTGTCCTCAAGGTTAAATTATGAAAAACCTTGCTACAAAATATTGTGATATTCCCATGTGGAAGCAAATGCATTTAAGTCTTCCCACTGAATAAGATGTTATGTAATCTGATGTTGGCCTCTCAATATCACTCGAGATTGCAAAATAGAAACAGGTTGAATGATATGATGTAATTCATTGTGCATAATAGGTACGGGAATATAAGGTTGCAAATGACCTCCCTTACACATCTAACTGAGAATAGTGAAAGACCCGATGAACTCGGGTTCCTTGGGGTAAAAATAGCTTGTATGCAACTTGTCCAATTCGCTCGATTACAGGAAAAAGATCAAAGTATCTTAAGCTGAGTTTCTGATTTTTCTTGAGAGTAGTCGAATGTTGCCTGTAAGGTTTTGATTTCACCAAAACCATATCACCAATGTTCAACTCAAATAATCTCCTCTTCTTATCTACATATTTTTTCATGTATTGTTGAGCATTATGCAAGTTAATTTTCAACCTGGTAAGAGTCAAATGTCTCTGCACTAACTGTTCTTGCACTAAAACAAGATCATGACTGTCAATTTTGTATTTAGTAAATTTTGGAGGGTCTCTACCATAAACAATCTTAGATGGGGTCATTCTACTACTATGAGGATAATAAGTATTGTACTAATACTCTGCTCAAGACAACAACTTTGACCAATTTTTAAGAGAATCATAAGTAAAGCATCTCAAATATATTTCCAAGCTCTTATTTAAATATTCCAATTGTCCATCAAATTGTGGGTGATATGTAGTGGTCTTATTCAAGGAAGTACCACTCAATTTGAATCGTTGTTGCCAAAACTGACTAGTGAAGACCCGATCCCTGTCAGACACAATTGACTTTGGCATGCCATGCAACTTGACCACATTTTTCATGAAAATTTCTATTACTGATTTACTAGAATAGTCAGACTTCAAGGAGGGAAAATGGGCATACTTTGATAGTCTGTCAATAACCGCCATTAGTACAGTAAAACCATTAGAATTAGGAAGACCAATAATGAAGTCCATTGCTAAATCCTCCAAAATTTGATTTGGAATGGGAAGCGGTTGTAGTAAACTAGCAGGAAGAGTATTAGCCACTCAAACAATTTTGCACAAACTCCTTAATATCATTGTGCATTCCTTTTCAATAAAATTTAATTGTTATTCGTGCCAAAGTTCTTGCAAAATACGCATGTCCTCCTATCAAAGAACTATGGAACTCATGTAAAATTTGTTTAACTAAATCATGTGCAGTAGGAATAACCAACCTACCCTTCCAATAAAGCAACTGATCATGCACTGAATAATGTGGGTCTGAGGGTTTGTTAAGCACACACGAATCGATAATAGTTTTTAATATCATGTCTTGCGAAACAACTGCTCTCAATTGTGACAAAATATGAAACTTAGGTTGGGACCAAGCTACGTAAAAGGAGCAAGATAAAAAAGTTAGCTACAAGATTATCCTTTCCCGGCTTATATTCGATATGGAAATCATACCCTAACAACTTATGCAACCATTTCTATTGCTTTGGTTTTTGAATTGCTTGAGCAATTAAACTTTTTAATGTTCGAATCACAAATTTATAATGACAAAACTTTGCAATGACTTCTGTGATAACATAAAATTCTCTAGCAATGTTGATTGCTTTTGCATTGTGACAGTCAATTTCTTGGAAAAAAAAAGCAATAAGATGAAAATCCTGACTAAGGACTACATTTATGCCCATTCCTGAGGCATCAATTTCTAATACGAATGACTTAGAGAAGTCAGGTAAAGCTAACATAGGTGCTTGAGTAATTGTTGTTGTCAATGTCTCAAATGCTAATATATTTGAATCATCCTAATTGAAATGATCTTTCTTCAATAAATTGGTTAAGGGGGGGCAACAATCACTGCATAACCTTGAATAAACCTTATATAGTAACTAGTAAGACCTAGGAAGCCTCGCAATTGTTTCGAATTTTTTGGACATGACCACTATAATACAACCTGCACCTTATCCTTATTCATTGCTACACCCAGTGCTAAAATAGTATGACCAAAATAATAAACTTGTTGCAGCCCAAAAGAACACTTGGAAAATTTGGCAAATAGTTTTTGCTGTTGTAATTTTTGCAACATTACTTCAAGGTGTTGTAAATGAGCTAGCCAGGAAGGACTGGATACTAATATATCATCAAAAAATACAAGCACACATTTTCTTAACATACCCTGAAAAATGTAATTCATTAAGCTTTAAAATGTGACCGACGCATTGATGAGACCAAACGACATCAAAACTCATTCATAGTGGCCTTGATGGGTTCGAAAAACTGTCTTAAATCTATCCTTTTCATTCACTAATATCTGGTGATATCCAAATCAAAGATCTAATTTCGAAAAAAATGTTGCCTCATGTAGGTCATCAATCAACTCATCTACAGTTGGAATGGGGAAACTATGTTTAATAGTTATAGCATTCAAACCTCTATAGTCAGTGCAACATCTCCACATGTCATCTTTTTTCTTGACAAGTATTATTGGAGAAGAAAAAGGACTATTATTAGGCACAATAATTCCTGCATTTTACATTTCTTGAACCATAATCTCAATTAGTTGTTTTTGGCTATGAAGATACCTGTATGGGCGAACCTTCACCGAGTCAAACCTTGCAACAAAGGAATAAAATGATTGTGGAACTGAGTATAAGGTAATTCAGAAGGCACAAAAGATACCACTCTGTATTTATGCAATAATTATGCCAATTTTGGTTCAATATTAGTAGGTAATGTGAACCTGTGATCCTGAGAACAATCTTGCTGCTGAAACTGCAGTGTAAATAACTCATCTGTGGCATGCGTGTCATGCATGCTTCCCAATTGATGGAACTGAACTTGCAATAGTAAGGATGGTTGGTCACCATGCAAGGTGACAAATTGATTGTCGAAATAAAACTTAAGTGTAAGTTTACTATAGTAAAAAATATGGGGCCCAATTGTGGTTAACCAAGAAGCTCTTAACACTAGGTCAGCACCAGTGATAAGTAGTAAATACACAGGTAATTTCAAAATATGACCTTGAATTTTAACCTACAATTCTCGAACCCGCCCTTTAGCAATTAATGCACTACCATTACCCACTAGTACTTGAAAATTGGGAATTGGCTCATTAGACAACTTTAAACAATGAGCCAATCATGGTTGCAAAAAATTATCATTTGAACCACTATCCAATAAAACATGCACTGTCATGCAATTTATAGAACCCTTAAACTTTAAAGTTCCAAATCCAGATGATCCTTTTAATGCATTATACTACAGATGATGTTCTTGTTCCAAGTGCAATTCCATATTCTGCTCACTATCCGGAGGATCAGGTTGTAATTCTCCATTATCCTCATCCTGCAATTGGAGAAGTAAATATTGTTTGTTGGGACACCTATGAGTAAGGGAAAACTTGTCATCACATGTATAGCAAAAACCTTTTTGTCTCCTTAGTAGCATCTCTGCAGGAGTTATTATTTTTACATTTGTATTTCATATGGTTCTGGAAACCAAATGTAGAGGACTAGGTAAGAGAGGTGGTAGGATTTTATGGTCTGACGGATAGGTAAGGTAGTGTTTGCAGCTTGTGTTTTGGAATATGGAAAATTATGGTACTGTTTGGATTTAGCAACATACTTCTCCTCACATAACTTGACCAATGAGATAGATCTAATCAGGGTTAATGGTGATTGAGAAATGACATCTCTTCTAATATCAGGTTTCAAATCTTCCACAAAACAGTCTAATAAAACTTCAAAAGATATACCTTGAACTCTATTAGCTAAAACAATGAATTGAACATAATATTCTCACAGAACCTGTGGTCCAAAGTAGGACATCTGAGCATTGAAAATCCACTAAAGTTCGAGTAAAGTAGCACATCTGAGCTATCAAAGCAAGGAAAGTCCAGCTTCACGTTACACACTTGAAATGGTGGTGAAACAATCGAAGAGTGGTGTTCCTTATTAGTATTTTGCTTCAATAAGGTATCCACTATAATAATTGTTATGTCTTTCAGGTGAGTATTATCAGCCATAATGATGAAAGCACCAATGTAACAATTGTTAGTTCTTTCGAGGGAGAAACAATATCAATAAAACATAAACATAACTCACATAAGGGATTAACATCACTCTCAACCCAAAACCTTAAAGTATTAAGTTATGGGTCTTTCTCACTTATAAGTTGTTCAACTTTCTCATTCTTACTAAATGTGAGACTTAACTCACACTTGGATTATCCAATAACAATTTCACAATATTATTCAATAACCAATTCTCTGTAAAAGTTTTATTAATACTCATAATACATACATCGTAACATGCGTATTTAAGAGAATAACCCAAACAGAGCATGAATAAAAATGAACGAAGAAGGGAATAGGTCCAGAGAGAGAATTCAAGAAAAAAGCAATCGTCCCCTCCTTTCTCTTACCATAACAAACAAAATTTACACTAAACTTTGACCAATAGCCCCCCTTATTGAATTACATTAGTAATTGACTCTTTTGCCTCTTTATTATTAATTTTTTTGTTACTAATCTTAGTTGTAATTGTTATATAAAATAACTAAAATATCCTTCAAATAATTTTTGTTTTAAACCTTAAAACTTTCTTCTATTTCCCCTTGTATCTTCTACATCTATATGGCTTAAGTTCTACATCTCCATAGATTTACAGATTTGATTTATTGTATTATCACTTTCATTCGAGATCATTTTCAACATTTAAAAGTGAGTAATTATTAATATTATGTGTCTATTACATGTTTCATGCATTAAAATTGTACATTGAAACCTAAATTGCTCAATCTGAAATAGTTTTGTGAGAATCAAATTGAGTTGTGGAAAAGCCAAACGAGAAATGCATTCCAGATTGGTGTTCTGGAATGTATTTATGAAAAGTGGGTTGCAAAACAATATTTTTAAAAAAAGATCTTCCGGAAACAGTTCTAGAAAGTGGGTTTCAAAATATATTTATAGAATTGATTTTCTAGAAATACATTCTAGATTGATGAGTCTAGATTACACTTCTAGAATGCTTAATCTAAAAGTGTATTCTAGATCCACTAATTTAGAATACATTTCTAGAAATTTAGTTCTAAAAATATATTCTAAAATCCATTTTTTGAAACTTATTTCTGAAAAATATTTTATGGAAATATTGTTAAAAAACTATTTTGAAACTTATTTTCAACTCAAAAATGTTGTTGCACGAATATTGTAGGTAATAAAAAATTGATATAAATTAGAAATACTTGAAGATTCTTCCATGTTTTTTGTAATAATAAAAGAAGAAAGAATGAAAATATTTTATGATTTGAAGTAAAAGTTTTAAAAACTAGAAATACCTAGTTACCAAAATATAATAGGTGCAAGGATAAAATAAAGTTAATTTAATTATAAAGTACGTGAATAAATTATGGAAGTTCAGGTCCCTTCAAAAATTGCAACCTAGGCCCAAGGATGGCTTTATTGTGTGGCCGAAGTTAAATTTACCACTGGTGGGTAGGAAAACTCGTGTATATGATCACAACTTAGATACGTTCTATGAACTTTTTACGATAATTATTTTATTTTTTCTTTCTACTTTTTAATTATATCAATTTTTTTTCATTTTTTTACTATTTTTAATATATAAATCATAATAGTTATTTTAAAAAAATTATAATATTTTTATTTTTTTCTCTCCAATGATGTTAAAAGAATAATTACAAAATAAATATTCTTTATATACAATTATAAATTATATAATTTTTTAAAAATTTATTTTTTTATTTATGCATGATATAACTTTAACTTTCCGATATTTTTTTTTAATTTTAGAAGAGCGAAAATCATACGATTTTTTTTAAGGACGTAATTATTATATTTGAAATTTTACAGGGATGCAAAATACATCTTATTCTCTATTTTATGATTTTTAATAAATTATTTAGTATCAATCAAATTATTACGTGAGAACTTTTGTTATGCTACTATATTTTTGTTACTATTTGTATTAATAACATTACATAATTTAAAGATAAATATTAGTGTTACCATACATTTTAATAGTAAATGGATGTTGACATATAATAAAAGAGATATTTTGATGAAAATATGGATGACAAGTTATGGTATACTTTCTATATGATGAAAAACTGCACTAAAAGAAAATAATTGTAATGACATTTTTTTTTTTAAGAAAAAAAAAAATGAGCGTCTACAACGTAAATGACAACATTAGCAAGAATAGGCTCTAGCTAGGGTAAATAGAGTCTGTAATATATAATAGAGAAGAAGAACCTCCAATGTAATTGTCGAGCAATATCAGGTAAAACCTAACTTCTTCTCAAATAAAAAGATGAAACAAAACCTGAAAATTATTGGGATTTTTCAAAACAAATCCTACTTTTCATTTAATGAGTTACCCTTCCCTTGTATTTTTTTTTTCAGAGAATTTTTCATAAGTAAAAGGTAATTTATGAATGTTTAAAATTATAAAAAAGATTTAAAAAAAAATGAAATTGAGTTTACGAAAATTGTGAAAACAGATTCCCATTTTAACTAGATTTTAGATATTTTAAAAATCATTCACGTATACATTAAAAACAAAAATATGTTTCTTTTAGAAAAAGAAAAAGTATAACAAACTGGGCCAATAATAATGCTTGTGATGTTTAACAATACTTGGAAAAGATATACATCGATCCATTGCAAAAGCTTGGATTTACATATCTCACTTTCACTCTCATAGCCTAAACCTAAGGTTACAAGAATGACTTCTAAACTTTTGAAAACTTCAAAATTTGTAGAATTTTCAATCCATTTGTATAGCCTAAAGAATAAGATATGGGCAAAGGGAAAAACACAAATTTAGGAAGCTAGAAAGAGCCAAAGAAAGGGATGGTCTATGTAATACAAAAATATGAAGTTTACTTGAGACAAAACCAAGGCTGAAAGAGAAAGGTAAACTAAGTTTGCATAAATTCCAAAAGTAAGAAATGTCTGTCCAAGTAATAGGAGTAATCACAGTCAGAAGATATATGAAAATGAATTGCTCTAAGAACTTCACAAATCATTAAGATGAAGACCTTAATTCATAATAGTATTTGCTTTATTTTCATACTATGGTTCAAAATACTAGCTTATATTATATTATACATATAAAGTTTACACACATATACTAAAACAATAACCTTTCAGATTTATATGGATTAACAAAATACTAATTAAGCAATAGGATAAGAGCCATTTGCAGCAATTCCGCATAAGCCTTTCTTGGCATTTATGTTTCTCTTCATCCTCATGTACCCTTTCTCACCCCATTCACTGCTCCATGAATTTTTTACTAGCCAATACTTAGTTCCATCATGAACTTTACCATAACCAACTACTGTTGCAGCATGGTCAGGATCAGTTCCACATTTTCCTGTGAAAATTCCACTGTAGTAAAATTGAAAAGCACGTCCTCCAGCATCAATGTAAACTGACACTGGTTGATTTGCCACAGCTTTCAGTAATGCCTTTTCACTATTAGCAGGAACTTTCTCATACCCTTTAATCCGAGCAACACCATGATGAGTCTCCTTAACCCCACAACTTCTATCTTTTCCTTTGTAAGGATAATGTGTTTCACTCGCTATTCCACCTTTCTTGGCAATGAATTCAAAGGCATCTTCCACATAACCACCGTGGCATCCTTCACTCCCACCTTTCACACAATCTACTAGTTCTTGCTCTGACAGGGACACCAATTCACCTGTTGTTATTTGGTGGAGACCCTCGATTGTAGCCACAGTTGAAAATGCCCAACAACTACCTATTTTCACAAACACATTTCGTTAATGACACACCAATGGATTATGATTGGAGAGTTGCTTTGGTACCCTTAGAAATCTAAGAATTTTGATACTGGGCCAGTAGTTTAATGAGTTTGAGTACACACCAAAGAAAAACAAACGATGAGAGCGAGAGAGTTTCTCAATAATTGTATCAAAATCCTTAAATTTTCAAAAGCACCATAGAATTAATCATAATTGAACTGATGAACGCGCAAAAAAGAATCTTACGACATGTGCCTTGGTCCTTGATTGGAGTAACAGCACCTCTTTTCCTCCAGTCCATGGTTTCAGGAATCTGAGTTACACTGTCATACTTAAACGATGTTACTGTTGCTGTCCCCATGCTACGTGCCTTCTTCTGACCATTAATTAACAAAGCCTTAAATTCTTCATTATGCAGATCCGCAAATTGGTTAATGCTAAGGTTGAAAGGTTTGTCCCCAGCAGCATTGAAAGACTCAATGAACTGCACATTGTTCTTGAATATTTGGAAACGTTTTTCCTTCTCAGCAGCATCCTTGTAAGCCTTGCCATACTGTGCCATCCACTTCTCATGTTTCTCAGGTGTAATGAGCCAGAGGCACATTACGTGGGATGTCCATACACTGAGAACGAGGAACAGAACTAAAATATAGTGATTTTGGCTAAAAGAACTCATCTTGTAAATTGGGATTAGAGTAGATTGTTGAAGGGTTGTTACATGGAGGAAGAAATTTGGTTTCGTTTGCAGAAAAGGCGATGACAACTACAACTAATTTATAGTGGTGGGTACTTTTGTTTCACAGTGCACCAAATGGTAGTGAGGAGTGTTAGGTAAATTTAGCAATAACTTAATTAGTTTTAAAAGAATGTAAGACCATGAAAAAATTGACGATCAATAATTCAGAGAGCTAAAAAAGAATAATGAAAAATACGCTATAACCCTATTTACATTGTTTCAGTAAAAGATACCGATTTCCAAAAGATTACATATCTTACTTCTGTAAAAGAAGAATGAAATGGTTCAGTTACCTATATAATGTACGACGAGTTTAAAAGTATTGGAACGAAAGACTAAGAAGAAAATTCTGAGTACATCACCCTAGTCAAAATCGTGATGAATGAGCTCAATTGGAATGAAAATGTGATATCTGAAAATTGGGTTGCGCGAAAAATCCTAAGATTGTTAACCAACGATCTTGAGAGTTTTAACAAGTAAAATTAATAATAAGTTAATTATCTTTAAAAAATTTATTGAAACATTTCATTGTTAAAGTTTTAAGATGGTTATGTTTTGAATGTTATTATTTTAATCTCTAATTATGAGAAGAGGTTTTGGTATTAGATAAGGAATTGTATTCCTGTTTTGAACTATATGAGAGAAATAATAATATTAAATTTTCATAAATTATTTTATAAGCAGTGAGATTCTTATTTCATTTTCACTCACTTTCAGTCTAACATACTGTAATCTTTCACTTTAAGGGAGGAATGTGTAAAAAAGTGACTTAAAATCCAGAAAAAAATCTCGCAAATCCAATACTTGAGTAATGATCAATTTTTAAATTTTGATCTCGGCTTTTTACCATTTTTAAAAATTACAAATTAAAAAATAAAATTAAATTAAAGATTTTTTTTGCTGTTATATATACACAAACATGTAATTATGCCAATGATATATTAAGATGTAATACCATTTTCATATTATTTACATAAATGTATCTCTCTTTTTCATGGTTCTCTTCTAAATCTTAACAATTATCATCTATTATAATCTTACATTTCTCCCACAAAATAATCTCCTAAAAGAAAGTAAAACATTTATTTTATATTGTATCGCATGATAAGAAAAACCACGCTGGACCAAATATGCAGAGTCCAGGGTAAACTTAGACTCTGTTTTGTATTTACTTTTTCATGTGTCACTGCATTTGGAAAACGAAAAGCATACCAGGTTTCTGTTTCCCTTCCCACGAGTACATTTCTTTCCACATGTTAAACAAATAAAGCATAGACTGAACTTAAAAAATATAGTTCATTTCTAATCAGAGCAGGACTCAGCTACATGTTGTGTTGTAATAAAATATGTTTGAAACAGTTAGGGGTTGTTTTTTAATGTACCAAATCACGTCAATCCTTTTCTTTCTTTATTTTTTATGCTACTTTATGTGTCTCTCATAATTCTGATCCTCATTACTTACAAAGGATTGATTTTTCTGAAACAAAATCATTTTTATGAGTAAACGCAACTAACCAATAATCACTCACTCATAATCAATAACTCATTAAAATATACCAAACAACAATCAAGAATGCAATATATAATAATATTTTTCATTATTTATTAGAAACTAAACGTTTAGACGAAAACTATAAAATCAAACATGGGAATCTTAGGAGCACCATGCAGGTGCAGATACTGGCTAGGAACTAAAAGATAGTTAGTTACATGCGTATACCAACTATATAAGGGACTCAAACAGTTGGATATAAGGCACTGGTAGCAATTCCACATAAACCTTCCTTGGCATGTATATCTCTCTTCATCCTTATATACCCTTTCTCACCCCATTCAGTTCCCCATGAATTCTTCACTAGCCAATACTTGGTTCCATCACCAGCTTCTCCATAACCAACCACTGTAACAGAATGATCAGTGTCAGTTCCACACTTTCCTGTAAAAATCCCACTAGAGTAAAACTGGAAAGCAGATCCTCCAGCTTCAACATAAGCTGACACTGGTTGATGTGCCACAGCTTTCAGGAGTGCCTTTTCACTATTAACAGGAACTTTCTCATACCCTTTAATCTGAGCTACACCATGACTTTCCTTCTTAACCTTACAAGTCCTGTTAACTCCTTTGTAGGGGTAGTATGTTTCACTTGATATTCCTCCTTTCTTAGCAATAAATTCAAAGGCATCTTCCGCATAACCACCAATGCATCCGTCACTGTCACCTCTAACACAATCTACCAGTTCTTGTTCTGATAGGGACACTAATTCACCTTTAATTATATGATGGAGACCCTCGATTGTAGCCACAGTTGAAAATGCCCAACAACTTCCTGTTTACAAAACAAAACCAAGTTGATACATATTAGACATTTTTTAGTGGAGCACCAACGGAATAAAATTGAACTAATGAACGTGGAAATCTTACGACATGTGCCTTGGTCCTTGACTGGAGTAACAGCACCTCTTTTCCTCCAGTTCATGGTAGCAGGAATCTTAGTGACACTGTCAAACCTAAACGATGTTTTTGATGCCGTCCACACGCCACGTTCCTTCTTCTGACCATTAATTAGTAAAGCCTTAAATTCGTCGTTATGAAGGTCAGCAAATCGGTTAATGCTAAGGTTGAAAGGTTTTCCCCCAGCAGCATTGAAAGACTCAATGAACTGCACATTGTTTTTGAATATTTGGAAACGTTTCTCCTTCTCAGCATCATCCTTATAGACCTTACCATACTGTGCCATCCACGTCTCATGTCTCTCTGACGAAAAGGCCTCAGGCAACCTGCGAGACATTACATGGCAGGTCCACAAAGTGAAAACAAGGAACATAACTACAATATAGTTGATTTGGCTAAATGAACTCATCATGTAATAATAGAGGTATTGGGTTTAGAGTAGGTTTGTTGACGTATTTCTGTTGCCTACACAAAGAAAATTGGTTTATTTTGGAGCAAAGGCAGTCGCAGCTACAAGTAATTTATACTGGTGAAGCACACTGGCGCATGAAATAGATATAGCATCTTAGGAGAGTTAAATAAAGTATCAGTTGTTTTTTAAATTTTTTTAGTTATTTCATTATTAAAGAAAAAATAGAAGAGAATAGAGAAGAGGAAAAAGAATAAATTCTTTATAAAATTTATTAAGAAATTTTTTACCACAATAAACTTAAGAATGACGTGAAAATATATTTATAATTTATATATTTTTTAAAATAAAAAACAATTCATATATTGAAGATACTCTTAATATCACCGAGCAACGCTTTGTTGGCAACAAATAGGGATTCAACACATTAACTTAATTAGATACTTGAGTAAAATATTAGTTATTTTAAGTAACTTTTTATTGAAGGAATTTGATGTATCAGGATAAGCTAATTTTTATAAAATTGTTTCATTAAACAACTTATAAAAATAAATTAAATAAGATAAATAAAAATAGAAAATAAGATAGAATAAATTCTTTAAAATTTATTAAAATAAATTATTGAAGTAATTTTTTTTATATGTGGTTGTTCTCTTATAATATTGTGTAATAGTATTTTTCTTTATCTTATTTATATTATTTAATATAATAATCATTTTGATTATAATTTAAATATGTTATCTGATCATGATATTAGAAAATAAATGTGTAAATATAGTTTCAACTATTATTATTAAAATAAGATATTAATAATATATATATATATATATATATAATATAGTATATGATGGTATTTTTTAATGAATACAAATAAATAATATTTATTAATTTATTTATATAAATGATGGATATTTAGATATAATGATTGAATCGGTTTAAATTCGATTTTCTAATAATTAATGTTATCTTAAATTTATTTATAAAAAGAGATTGTCATGTTGGATATAATTAATTATTACCCAACACTTAATGTTTTATAGTAGTATTTGAATTAATATTAGGTATAATTTATCTTAATAATTATTTAGGAAGAGATTTATTAACAAATATATGATATAATTTATCAAAGATAATACTAAATTAGTCCTACATATGGTATGATTGGTAACTAACTTATCCCTTAAACATAGTTATGGATTTAAACAAAAAATATTTATACATTTAAATTTTAAAATAATTATATTAATTAAATATAAAATTAAAGTACAAGATATTTTTAATTTAAAGAAAATTTTAAATTCAAGCATCACAATTACATAATATAATTTATCGATGATGACACTAAATTAGTTCAAACAAATATGATATGTCATGGCGGGTAACAAATTTTAAACACATCTTAAAGATTCAAAAAAGAATATTAACATTTTTTTTATCTTTTGTTATATATTAAATTATTATTTTTTAAATATTTGTTTTTATTAGTGTCCTTATATTCATACTTTTAATGGTAAATATAAGTCACGTTTTAAGTTTGTAAAAAATAAAAGAAAAAATGTTATATAATAATTGAAAATTATTTTTTTATTAGTTTTATCAAGTATGCTTAAAATTATGTCATAATTCATATATGATGTATTTTTTTAAAATTTTATTGTTAAATAGGTGGGAAATTAGGTCATAATTTATATATTACGTATATCGAAAAAAGAAGATTGTCACATAACTGTAGTAACAATTTTTAAATAGGTATTAATAATATTTGTGATAAAACAATTATTTTGTCAATAATATATAAATTAATAATATTTTGGACTCGTGGATATAAAGAATAATTAATCTCATGAAGTTTATTATTTACTGTGAAGAGATACATGCATGGAAAAAATATCATTAATAAGCCATTATGCTCCTTCGGCATCATTGTCTACTAAAGGAATTTCAACATTCAACAGGGTTTTATGCTAAACTTTTAATGTCACTTTTATATAAAAAGCAACGGAACCTT